AGCCAACGTGGCTGTATGAGAGGGCATCTGTTTTTAATTAAAAAAAAGGTAATGTCTATTTATTACCAAACATTTTCCATATTTTCTTTTATTTTATCTAAACCTATGGAAATATTGTTTATTAACCAAACGTTAACTCATCATTAACAATTTTGTTAATATTGCTAACTCAACATCACGAGTCTGAGTTCGATGCCAACGTGGCAATCACCATCCCATAATTTTTTAATTTTAACAGATCCTTTTGGTTTCTGAGTTTTCGGATCTAACAGATCCTTTGATAGAGGAGGCGATATAGGAAGGGGAAAGGCAGAGAGCCAAATTAAAAATAAATTAATTTAAATATTAATAAATAGACATTACCCTTAAATTTGTAATAATAAAATATATTTAAATATTAATTTCTGATGTGTACGCTGACGTGGATGCTTACGTAGAGCTCCGTTACGAGATAAGTAACGGTAAACTACAACAATTCTGGCTAGTACTGACGATTGTTTTTTGTCATTTTAATTATGTCACAATAGAGTACCTAGTTTGACAAAAAAAACTAGTTTTTTCAAACATCAACACATGAACAACTTCAACGGCAACCTGGACAACCACCACAGAGGACATTCGAGTGCAGCAAAATCGGGTAAAGGAGGAGTCTCCCTTCTGTTCATCAACCAACATAGACTTGACTCAACCACTTACTCAAGATAGTCACCTCATGCACAAAACTCAAGATATCAGAATTGAGACCGAGCAATCTAGGTCCTCACCGGGGTAAATAGTATAGAGAATATGAGAAAATGAATCGCTCACTCTCGACCAGTGGGGTCAGGACAATTTGATGCGAAAAATGCGCATGCTTATTCTCTCAATCCCTAACGTCTCTTCACCATGAAGGCATCCTCTAAATGTTAGAGTTCACATATGGGGTGTCACCACTAACTAATCCGGAGGTCTTAGACACAGGTTCAGATGACTGGCTAGGGTCTTGGACATGGGGAAAAGCCCTTTTAGGTGGTGGAAGTATTCATAGCACAAGGTTCCACAGTTCCGAATCCAACACAATCACAGTCAATCAAACCACTTACTTTCTTTCTGCCATTCTACATTACTCGAGTTCTTTAGAGCACAAGAGCGAAGGAGGTCACAATAATGTTAGTATTTCCAAGTCAGACTGCTAAGAAACAATAATTAATGAGCATGATTCAACTTTTTGGTAGTGGCTCTCTTTTGTTTGCATTCTTTTTTCTTTTCATTTTTTTTTTCATTTCTTGAGAGAACCACCACCTCTGCACATTTTTCAAACACATGTCCAACTTTTTTAAGAACTACCTCCAACCCTGATGCAATATCGACTAGTACGATATTTAATTCCCGTGGTCCAAAAATGAAGATTCGAATTCGACGATTTAAATATCAATTGGGAGCATTCTTAATGGATAATTGTCCTTATAATCCAAGCCCATCCACGTGAACAATAAAATGCATGAGTTTATTGTTCATGGAATTGGAAAGGTGTGGGTGGGGTTATTAATTCACAATTGGCAACGTGGATTAATTGGAGGAATGGAAAGCTCAAAGCAGGCTGCTTAATTGATTACTTCCGTAAAGTCCGAGCAAGCAGGTCATTTGGGTTGGTTTCTCATTACAATAAGCTTAATGGACAATGTCATTTTAATTGAAGAAATGGAACGTGAAGACAAAGCTTGATTGGAGTTGCTTGGAGTAAAAGTTGCGGACCGGAAATGCCATTCCGCCCAGGAGAAGGAAACCGAGCGGCTAGCGGTGCATTTATGTTTTAATTAGTATTTTTCCTTATTTAAGTAGTATTATGTTTCCTAGTTAGTTTGGGATTTGTTTTCCTATTCCTTTTAGGTTAGTTTTATGTCTTTGTGACCTCTATAAATAGAGGGTGTAAGACCTACGAATTTTGTACCCAAGATTTCAGTTATCAAATACATTGAGTGTTTACTCGAGTTCCTTTGTGAACGTTTTTGCTTAATCTCTCCTTTGAGGATTCGGGAGAATTGAGTGGTCTCTTATTAACTAGAGAACGCGTCTAGTTGTGGCGAGCATCGACTATATCGATTGGCCTTATCCACGGGTTCGAGATTGTTTGATTGGTTTCATATACCAATTGGCCCTTCTCACGAGTTCGGATCTGTTTGATCGATTTCCGCGACTATCCTTTATTTTCGTGTTATTGAAGAAAGAAGAAAATCCTAAAAAAAGTTCGACGTGTGCAACTCTGGTTTTTGGTCCGATTTGGGAGGACTCTCGAATTAGGATCATATCAAACCCTCACATTATTTTTAGCAGAAACAACAGAGAACATGCAAAAACCACTCCATGGAACCTTCTAAGAGATGCAAAAGGGTGATTTTCCATTATAAACCGAAAAAAAGGAAGTGACACGGCTCAAAGGGGCTGACTAGGGGGTATGACACACCAGGACAGTCAAATTGGTCGTGGGCTATTCCTATGCCTCCATCATCTTAGCTAATGACAACGTGAATGCTACACATCATGGAAGAGGGATCTATCGCACAAGAAAGAAATGAGCAGGCTCAAATCTCACACCGCTACATATATGCTCTATCTCTCATTCTGATTCCCTGAACTAGATGCATAAACGACTGTCAAGAACAAGTGATCAATCCAAGTCACAGTTGGTAAGCAAACAGTTGAAAAACTGAACCCCTGCACAACTCTACTGCACGTCTCAGTCATCATTATAGGTTGTCTTTAGTCACAATCCAGTTGTCATGCAGTAATTCGAAAGCCATTCGATTCACCAATTAAACCCACAATGCCAATACGATCAACCAAACAGCAGTACTTGGAGCCCTCAAATCTCAAGATTTGGACAGTGGACTAGGCTCCAAGCACACATATATAAGTTCCAATAAATGCAAAGCACCCCCCCCCCCACACTAAAGTTCGACATTGCCCTCAATGGAGCAGAGGGAAGGGGAACGATGTTACCATGAAATGGTGATCAGGAATGGTGACTAGAGGGCGAACCAGTCTCTCTGAACCAATTACAGGCACGATTACGACCGTATTTGGTATGATTCTGGCCGTAATTACACTGCCGAGGCTTCTCCCATGTTTCTGACTGAAATACGGGCAGGGGGACAAGGAAATACGACCGTAATTGAGTCCCCCTTGCCCGTAATTGCACTGCCGAGAGCCCCCAGTCAAAAATTTTAAACCACATTTTCGGACAACCAAACCCATTCGTGCCCCGGCTCAAAAATAAACACCACCATAAAAAAAAATAAACCATCCGGGGCACGAAATACATTCGAGACAGACTCTTGACAGACTCCAAGACTCAAAAATCGACAAAAGCGAAAAGGGGAAAGGACATAAATGCAAACCGTGGTGGGGTTGCCTCCCCACAAGCGCTTCTTTACCGTCTTTTAGCTGGACGAGTATGGTGGATGCTCAGAGAGGTGTAGGAACAGGTGCCTCCAAGAGCGGATCCACATCGCTCTTGAGGTACAGCTTCAGATGGTGGCCATGCACACGATGGGTGTGACCACCAGCACTCGTCAACTCGACCTGGCAATCCGACAGGATGCAAGCGAGTGAATACTAGGATGGCCAAGGCGGTTGTGGCTCAGGAGGCAGGACCAGCTCATAATGGTCTCCGGCTTTCTATTGAGCATGCTTGGCTACTTGCAGCTTCGACCGCCACTCCTCCTTGATCTTTTCTTTTGGGAATGGAGTGGACGGGAGTGGCGGCGAAGATATGGGAGGGGGGTCCTACAAAATGGGAAGCACAGAAGGATACACGACAGACTCGTGCTCCTGTTGAGAAACAACATGCAAAGGCGATGAAGCAGGGAGAGTATTAGCAATGGAAAATGTTATTCGCTCCTCCCCATCCCTCAAGACTAAGGTCCCATCATGTACATCTATGAGAGCCTTGGCAGTGGCCAGGAAAGGCCTTCCCAGTATAAGAGGCACTTCTGCGTATTCACTAATGTCCAAGACAACAAAATCCATAGGATAAAAGAATCTGCCAACCTTAACCATAAGGTCTTCCACTATGCCCCTAATGTCTATTTATTACCAAACATTTTCCATATTTTCTTTTATTTTATCTAAACCTATTGAAATATTGTTTATTAACCAAACGTTAACTCATCATTAACAATTTCGTTAATATTGCTAACTCAACATCACGAGTCTGAGTTCGATGCCAATGTGGCAATCACCATCCCATCATTTTTTAATTTTAACAGATCCTTTTGGTTTCTGAGTTTTCGGATCTAACAGATCCTTTGATAGAGGAGGCGATATAGGAAGGGGAAAGGCAGAGAGCCAAATTAAAAATAAATTAATTAAAATATTAATAAATAGACATCACCCTTAAATTTATAATAATAAAATATATTGAAATATTTATTTTCTGATGTGTACACTGACGTGGATGCTTACGTAGAGCTCCGTTACGAGATAAGTAACGGTAAACTACAACAATTCTGGCTAGTCCTGACGATTTTTTTTTTGTCATTTTAATTTTGTCACAATAGAGTACCTAGGTTGACAAAAAAACAAGGTTTTTCATAATATAAATATATATTATGACAAAATACTTGTTTGTCATTACGATTTGTCATAATAAATAGATGTTCCGACAAACAAGTGTTTTGTCGTAATATTTTCGTCAATATGAGTTTGTCAAACTAAGATTTGTCTTATGGCACGCGGTTGTGGGTAATTTAACAAATGTTTTGTCATAATAAACTTTGTTATTTCATGTATTACTGTACATCTATTTTGACAAACAGTTTTGTCAGACATGTGAAATGGATGGGCGGGAATGTTTGGAGGGAAAAGAGAAAATACATATTATGACAAAAAAATTTCATTTGTCGGGACATCATATATATACAGATATTTTAACGGAATACGATCGTCATATTAGGTAAATTTTTCATTTTTAGTTGATTTGTCATTTTCTCTACATAGTTTTGCCTCCTCATCAGAAAGGGATTCGGTAGCGGAAAATATATTTCCCCTTCTCTTTGTCGCACCAAAGACCAAAAATCTCCCGAAAAAAACCCCCTCCCATTCCTTTCGATATCCCCAAACCATTTTTTATATCCATTGCTATCGGGAAGAATCGAGCGCCGCCGACAAAGCATCTTTGGATCGAGCGACGCTGGCAATCGTTCTCCACTGCTGTCGGGAAGAATCAAAGTCCCACCTCCTCTTCCCTGCCAAGTAAGTAGTCCATATACTGAACATCTCTCCCCTATCAACGAAGATTGTCGATTTCGAGTTAGTGTTGGGTGCTGTGGCGGAATTGAGTCCAGAACAAGGTTCAAATCGTTGATTCTGTTCGAGTGGAAGAAATTGGGGGAATTGAATCCGCCTCAAGATCTGGTTGCATGCAGGGTCTTTTTATTTGTGTGGAGCAGATTTTATGAGAATCTATAGTATTTTCCAATATCGTGGTTGGTGTGGGTTCGTTTTGGGTTTAGGGATTAGAATACATTAGGGATTTTAGGTTGCATGTTTGTTCTTCGTTGGGTTCCTGGTGGATTTTACCATGAACACATGTTTATATGGTCCTTGGTCTCTCAATTTTTCCAGGTTCTCTCAATTTCTTGGGGTTTCTTTATGCTGTGTTTTCGTCCATGAGTTTCTGGTGTGTGAACTGATATAGATTGCACCTTGATTTTGTTTGTGTAGGTAATATGAGGTTGTTTGATCAACAGGAAGCCTGCAACTCTTAAGGGAAGGCAAAACCTGAAGGTAAGGTAATATATCAAGAATGTGTTTGTTTATGAGATAAAGACATATGACACTAGGTCCTGATTACAACCTACTAGTATTCCAACAGTACATTGGTGGTGCAAGTTGCTATGAGAGATTATGATGATCTGTGTGAAGTTGTTGTAGTAGTAATAAAGCAAAAATGGATGATGACTCGATATTTACACATGTTTTGTCCACCATTCTTATCCTGTTTGAGGCTCGGATCTCGGGTTTTAAGCCGATTTGACACTAGGTTGTTCATATTTATGAAATTTTCAGGTCCTAATGCGTGAATGAAGGTTTGAGAACGAGTTTGGGGATGATTAGGTGAAAACGGGACGAGCGAGGGATAGAAGACAAGTTTCACGGCTGGCACGGGAAAGTGCACGGCTGTGCATGGTGGCATTTTTGGCCGTGTGGGATTTACCGATAAGTTGCATGGCCTGACCCTGTTTTCGCACGGCCGTGCATGATGCATTTTCTGGCCGTGATGAACTATGCGAGAGGCTGCACGGCCAGGCGCTCGGATTGCACTGGCCGTGCAATCCCTTCACGGAATTAATTGAAACTCTGCGTTTTGGGTTGCACGGGCAGCGAAGGGGGTTGCACGGCCGTGCGGTCTGGCTGTGCAATCGCGGGCAGTTGCATATAAACCCAATTTCGGGTTTTGGAGAAGGGGAATTTACTTTTTGGAGCAAAAACAGAGTTCTAAAGAGAGAAAGTGCGAAGAACAAACCCTAGGAGCTATTGGAGCGGATTTCTCACCATTGAAGCCCAGATTGCATCCCCAGGAGTGAAGATCAATATCCCAGAGCATATTATTCCCATCTTTATGAGTATGACTGTTTTGATTTCTCTCTCTCTCTCTATGGAGTAGACCTTTCTCTCACTTGGGTATGAAGAACCCTAGTTCCATGTGTTAGGGATTTGAGTTGTAATGAATTTTGGTTTGAGATACTATTTGATTATAATCGATTGAAGAGTGTTTATTGAGTCAATTGAATCCTGATCAACTTTTTTTGATTTCTGCTGCAACTTGAGATAGATAGAATGTGATTAGGTTGTTAGAGCTTCTTCAATGGATAGGAGTGGATTGATTATATGAGAGTTAGTCAATCCACTGCTTTGTACTCGAATCCAATTCCAGTAGTGGAGATTCTAAGCTAAGAGATTTCAAGCTACTGTCGGATCTTCCGCAGTTTAATCAAAAGTAAATCAACCTAAGGAAATTACAACTTGGACCTAACTAAGGAGCTCGGGGGACTCATTCCCGAGTGACTCTTCTCTTGCTTCAGGAAACCGGACAATTTACTTCTTTCTTTCTGCTTTACTTTGAACTCACCTACATTCACTTAGTCTCGCTAGATAATAGATGATCACGGAGTAGGCAGTACATCTAGGCCCTAGGTCATTTAATACTTGATTCCACTATACTACATTTCCATTATGCGATTACACTTGGTCGTAGTTTGGTGTTGTGTCATAGCGTGTCAAGTTTTTGGCGCCGTTGCCGGGGACTTCTAGGTTATTGTAGAAACGTGAAAGTCTGTTACTTTAACATTTTCTGTACTGCATTCTCTCTCTTCCACCTGTGTGCTTTCACAGGTTGCTTTTGCTGATTGTGTGCAGGTAGTGCATGACCCGTAGCCAGTCGGGAGATCTATTGTCATTGGACGAGGAGATTGAACGAACTGGTCGTAACCTCAAGCGCACTTTGAAGGCGCGACTGGCTGCGGAGGAGGTTCTAGCACAACTGCACATCAACCAGGAGGAAAACATGGGTGATCCACAGAATAATGATGTGGTCATTCCTGAGGAGCACACCATGGGATACTACCGGACTGCAAGAGCCGCAAACATGAGGTCGCCCATCCAACACCCTCAAGTTCCATCCAATAACTTTGAGGTGAGCATCTATGTCATCACCATGCTGCGCAACTCGGTGGTATTCCGTGGAAATGAGGGGGAGTGTCCCATATCGCACCTGCGGCGATTCCACGAGCTGATCAATGACATCAAGATAAATGGGTCACTACAGATGCCATCCAACTGAGATAATTCCCAATCACTCTGGAGGGGTAGGCCAAGGAGTGGCTGGACACTGGAGAGGTAGGCCAAGGAGTGGCTGGACACTCGGCCTCCGGGATCGATCACTACGTTCACCAACTTGGCGGACAAGTTCCTCGCCCGCTATCACCCTCCATCAAAGACGGCGGACCTGCAGAAGCAGATCACTCATTTTGCACAGGAGGAAGATGAAACCATTCGGGATGCTTGGGAGAGATGCACCAGTCTCTTACTAAAGTGTCCCAATCATGGTTTGAATGACGCATTCAAGGTGAGCACCTTCTACCATGCCCTCTGCCCAGAAGATAAGCAGTTGATTGGCTCTGTATGTGGCAGGAACATGTTGACTAAGATGCCACCGCAGTTAAATAAGCTCTTTGAGGAGATGGTAGAGAAAGGATATGACTAGGGTACTGCTAGGAGGTCGAGGCGAGTACCAGGCGGGGGTGTACATGCTGTGGACACCCACTCTTTCGATTTGGTGCAGGTTGTGTCTAAACTGGTCTCACCCATCGATCTGAATGGGATGGTTTCAGGGACAGGGCAGCAGCAGGCAATGTGTTGCCAGTGGTGTGAGAGCTCCCATCATACTGTAGACGACTTCCAGGCCATGCGTGAGTCTTGTACACCACAGGAGCAGGTAAACTTCATCAACAATGCTAGGCGCAATGACCCCTACAGTAATACTTACAACGAGGGATGGCGCCAACATCCCAATCTCTCCTAAAGTGGCAACAACAATCCCAAGCCACCTGGCTTCCGCGCTCCTGCAGCTGGTCTTCAAAACCAGGGGCAGCCATACCAGCCCTGCCCGGGCCAGATGCAGCAACAAAAGCTACTTTATCATCCCAGACAGGGGCAGGCTTTTCAACATCACCTACAGCAGCAACAGTACCAGCAGCCTGGTGCATCTCCATCAGTCCCAACACTGGGCGATCCCTTGTCACAATTGAGGGATCTAGTGACCACCTTGGCCAGCACTAGTACTCGGAACTTCAATAAATTGGATTCATGGAAGTGGCTCCGGGCAAATTCATGGAGATTGAAGCTGGCCAGAGGAACCAGCAAGCACTCTTGCAGGATATGGACACCAAAATTGGGCACCTAGCAGATGCCCTTGCTTCCAGACTGATTGGCACACTTCCTGGCCAACCCCTACCTAATCCTAGAAATCATAAGGAGGGGTTACACGCCATCATTATAAGAAGTGGGACTGTGACTGCGGATGCACCGCCGAAGAGTGCCAAGAAGGTGACACATATCACCCTAGATCCCGAAGAGGACCTGGTTATGGAAAAGGAGCCAGAGGCTCGAGCTCTAAAGCCACAACCAGTAGTGGCTGAATAAAGCCTAAGCTCCCTTTTCCCACCAGGATGTACTTAGACAGGCTTGAGGTAGAGTTTGGAAATTTCTTGTCCATGCTTAGGAAGCTGAATGTTCAAGTGCCCTTCATGGAGGCACTATCTCACATGCCTAAGTATGCAAAGTTCCTAAAGGATCTTCTCTCGAAGAAGCGGAAGCTGAGCGAACTGGCCATTGTGGAGCTCAGCGAGGAGTGCTCTGCCATTCTGCAGAACAAGCTTCCGTCTAAGCAGAAGGACCCAGGTAGTTTTACTATCTCGTGCTCTATTGGTAAATTGCATGTAGAGAGGTCCTTGGCAGATCTAGGTGCTAGTATCAATGTTATATCATATAAATTGTTCAAGAAACAAGGCCTAGGTGAATCCAGTGCAACTAGGATGAGTATTCAATTAGCTAACCAATCTGTAGTTCATCTTAGGGGCATAGTGGAAGACCTCCTGGTTAAGGTTGGAAGATTCTTTTATCCTGTGGATTTTGTTGTCTTGGACATCAATGAAGACGCAGAAGTGCCCCTTATACTAGGAAGGCCTTTGCATGTTGTTTCTCACCTGCTTTATCGCCTTTGCATGCTGTTTCTCACCAGGTGCACGAGTCTGTCGTGTATCCTTCTGTGCCTCCCATTTTGCAGGACCCCCTCTCATTCCTTCGCCGCCACTCCCGTCCGTCTCGCTACCAAAAGAAAAGATCAAGGAGGAGTGACGACCGAAACTGCAGGTAGCTAAGCCTGCTCAAAAGAAAGCTGGAGACCACTATGAGCGGGTCCCGACTTTTAAGCCACGACCGCCCTAGACATCCGAGTATTCACTCACTCGCATCCTGCCGGGTGGTCGGGTCGAGTTGACAAGTGTTGGTGGTCACACCCGTCATGTGCATGGCCACCATCTGAAGCTGTACCTCAAGAGCGATGTGCATCTGCTCTTGGAGGAACCTGTTCCTACACCGCTCTGAGCATCCACCCTCTACGTCCAGCTAAAGACGTAAAAGAAGCTCTTGTGGGGAGGCAACCCCACCACAGTTTGTTTTTCTTTTCTTTCTTTTTGGTTTTTCCACTTGGAACCATGGTTTCTATCACCCAGTGTGTTTTGATGACTCTAGCTCGGTGCCTTTCAACTAGCCCTCTCCAGTCCCTTGATCTTGACTGGTCTGCCTTTCAGTCGCCAGTCCCGGCAGTCTGTTTTCCTGGTAACATCGTTCCCCTTATCTTTCCCTCTTCCCATTGAGTGCAATCTCGTGCTTATGTGTGGGGGAATGTTTATCTTTGACTGCATAGATGATTTTGTGTGCTTGGAGCCTAGTCCATTGTCCAATTTGATGAATTGAGGGCTCCAAGTAGTTGTAGCACTATGGAGGATATTGAAGTATAAGATTTTTCCTATCTGTCTCTCTGTTGTGCCAGTTGATTTTGTGAACTAGTGGATTTAGGACCGCTTATTCATGTGGTATTGATGACTCTCCTTATGTTGTGTTGTGGACTCGTGTATCAGAAAAGGATGCTCAATTGTGTGAAATGAAAAAGAAGTTGGTCTTCCATGTAAAAAAATTAAAATTTTAAAACATGGGGTAAGCCCAACGTGTGTGGCACCGTTCATTGAACAAAATTGGGTTTTAGAAGAGATTTTAGTGATCCTCAGTGCGGGTTGGATCAGGTCCTTAAGGCTATTTTTTTAATGAAAATCTTAAACCCCTTTCAGCCAATAGGAGAAGGAGAGAGAGAGTGATTAGTAATGATTGGTTAACTACCTACCTAATACGTTAAAGGGTAAGATAGGAATATAAAAAGTAAGTAAATGCCATCATTAATTAAGGAACGAGAGAAAAAAGAAACTCCTCCCAACCCTAAACCCATTCGTCTTCGTTTTCTGGTTTGCTGTGCGGCGCTTGCTTTCCGGCGTCGTCGTCCCGTTCTCTCGTTTTTCGTCTGTCGTCGTCGTCTCAAAGAAGGCCGGTGACGTCTCGGCTGTCACCTTCTCGTCGCAAAGAAGGCCGGTGACATCGTCGTCTCCTTCTCGTCTGCTTTCCGGCGTCGTCGGGGTCGTCGTGTGTCCTTCTAGTCTCGTTTTCCATGGGATCGCCAAGGCCAAGAGACGTTATTTTTGGTAAGTTTTTACTAAAACAGACATATCTTTGGCTGCCTCGTTGTTTAATAAAACAGACCAGAGTTGTTAACAATTTATGTTAATAACTTGGTGTGGGATTAATAATAATGCCTTCGTTAACTGTTAATATTTGTGGTGTTTTAATTAATAATCAACTTTGCATGTAATCAGGTCATTACTATTTTTAAACATATTATCAATATCTTCATAAACGAGTATTAACCGATAATACCAATTTATTAATAAAACAGACCAGAGTTGTTAACAATTTATGTTAATAACTTGGTGTGGGATTAATAATAATGTCTTCGTTAACTGTTAATATTTGTGGTGTTTTAATTAATAATCAACTTTGCATGTAATCAGGTCATTACTATTTTTAAACATATTATCAATATCTTTATAAACGAGTATTAACCGATAATACCAAATTATTAATAAAACAGACCAGAGTTGTGAACAATTTAAGTTAATAACTTGGTGTGGGATTAATAATAATCCCTTCGTTGACTGTTAATATTTGCGGTGTTTTAATTAATAATCAACGTTGCATGTAATCAGGTCATTACTATTTTTAAACATATTATCAATATCTTCATAAAAGAGTATTAACCGATAATACCAATTTATTAATAAACCAGACTAGTGTTGTTAACAATTTAAGTTAATAACTTGGTGTGGGATTAACAATAATCCCTTCGTTAACTGTTAATATTTGTGGTGTTTTATTTAATAATCAACGTTGCATGTAATCAGGTTATTACTATTTTTAAACATATTATCAATATCTTCATTAACGAGTATTACCTGATAATACCAATTTATTAATAATCGAAGTGTTTAACTTAATAATCCACTTTGTACGTAAAAATGTTCGTTGTTTTAAATTATTAATTAAAAAGGACATGGTTAATAGTAAAGTTTGCATGAAAAATTTCATTGTCGATTTAGGTTAATAATCCAAGAAGGGAAGATTAGTAACGATGTTGATGGTTGTTAATAATTAATCCCAGAGGAATGATTATTAATTTATTGTTAATTGTTAAAAGTTAAAGTGTACAAGTTAATGATCGGAGAAGGAAGATTAATAATGAAGTGCCTTGTAATTGTTGATTTAATAATCGGAGAATGAAGATTAATAATGAAGTGGGTAGTTGTTAATAATTAAAGGTAATAGTTTTGTTAATTTGTCAACGTTGCAGAACGTTGCAGATCTGAATGAAGTACCTTGTGATGTCAACTTGGAAGGTGAAGATATTTCCAATAACAATGACTTAAGCGAAGACGAGATTACAGTAGAAAATCTATATGCAGAAGGCGAAGGTTAGTTGACTAATCTTGTATATATGTGGAATGATAAAACTCGTGTCAGTGACGTAATGTATTCAATGTTGCAGGAGTGGTGGATGATGTTCATACGAATGATGGTAGTGCTATACCTGTCATGGACATTCGTGATTTTAATATTGATAACATGGGTAAGTCGAATTTATAACAATCTTATTAACAAGTAAAAAAAAATGCACCATTATTAACTAATTTCTTGATAATTTGTGTAGAGATAATACTGTTCGAAAAAGGAGTAGGGCAGAGAATAGATGGGGGTGTCCAGCGAGGATGAACTTCAAGTTGGATAAATAAACCAACCTCTATTACATTGATGATTGGGTAGATGAGCACAATCATGAGATGCACGACCCATCGGCCAAGCATCTCCATCGTTCTAACAGGAATATCACTGAAACTCAACTTTGTATTGCTAAAATGAACGAGGCTGCCGGTATAAAAACACGGGCTAGCTATACTACATTCTGCTTAGCTGCTGGTGGTAGGGAGAATGTTGGTTTCCTTCCAGAGGACTTGAAGAATTGCATTAGAACAGTGAGGGCGAAGACAATGGAGTATGGGGTGGCCACATTCCTGTATCGACACTTTCAGGAGGAACAGAGATGTGATCCCTTCTTCTTTTATAGGGTGTCAGTGGACGTGAACGAGGAGAAAGTTGAAAACACAACAGGAAATAAATTCAATTAAAGATGCTAGTTGTGCATTCACTCACCATCAAAATTAACATTTACCAAGCGCAAATAATCCTGGTCAATACTACGCATCTGCAAGTTAAGAACGAAGCCGAACCCATAACTTCGAAGTATAGCCGCACGACTTGGGCTAATATTCTTAACGATTTTGCGGACCTGAGACACACTGCACCTGATTGGTAAGCGATTGTCATCAGCTATGGGTGCATCTGCCTTTTTCTTCATAGGCTTACTCAACGGTGCAGACTTATGCGAAGTATTCTTCGTACGTGCCATATTATATTGTGGACCACTGTAAAAAATTATAAAGAAAGTCCACGAAATGATTAATAACCCATTTTTTAATAACGATCAATACAAAAGAAAATGTTAATAACGAACATGAGGTAGTAGTGTTGATAACAACCAATACTAAAAAAACATAACACGACAAGAATTGATTATGGTGTTCACAAAATTATCACGTTGGCAAAGAACATTACAAAAAAAATTACCAATGCAATTAAATAATTTACATAACAGCACAGATTCATTAATAATAAAAAGCAAAAGGTTGAGAGCGAGAACATATTGACTAACAATGTTGACCAAAACAGCTTGTAAACGCCCAACGAATGATTAACAATAGATATAAAAAAGCTTCATAACGAGCAGAAATTGATTAACAATGGACACAAAAAAATTAAAAATATTTCCCAAATTCGAAATGAATTTGACGTGCACAGATTGATTAACAATGAACACACAACACATTGACTTGCATGACAAATTGATTAATAATATAGAACGAAAAAGTTGAAAACGAGCACGTATTAATTAATAATATAGACACAACACGTTTTCCATATGTCCACAGAATGATTAATAATAGATTTTTTAATAACGATCAATACAAAAGAAAATGTTAATAACGAACATGAGGTAGTAGTGTTGATAACGACCAATACTAAAAAAACATAACACGACAAGAATTGATTATGGTGTTCACAAAATTATCACGTTGGCAAAGAACATTACTAAAAAAAAAATACCAATGCAATTAAATAATTTACATAACAGTACAGATTCATTAATAATAAAAAGAAAAAGGTTGAGAGCGAGAACATATTGATTAACAATGTTGACCAAAACAGCTTGTAAACGCCCACCGAATGATTAATAATAGATATAAAAAAGGTTCATAACGAGCAGAAATTGATTAACAATGGACACAAAAAAATTAAAAATATTTCCCAAATTCGAAATGAATTTGACGTGCACAGATTGATTAACAATGAACACACAACACATTGACTTGCAAGACAAAATGATTAATAATATAGAACAAAAAAGTTGAAAACGAGCACGTATTAATTAATAATATAGACACAACACGTTTTCCATATGTCCACAGAATGATTAATAATAGATGCCAAAAGGTTGATAACGAGTGACAATCGACAGAAAAAAATCTGGAAACGTCCACAAAATTATTAATAACAGAAACCAAATAAATTAAAAATGGACCTACCATTGTACAACCCCTACTCCTCCCATACAACGACAAACCCTAATCTCATGCATTGCCAAAACCCTAATCCCATGCAACATGCAACGCCAAAAACCCTCAAAATAGCGGCCAAAAAAATCGGAGACCAAAAAATACCCTAACACGCGGCCGCCGACGAGAGACTGAGAGTTGAAACGAGAGAGAGTGAGAACTCGAACAGTCGGCCGGAGAACTCGAACGGATGAGAGAGATGGAGAACTCGAACAGCGACGACGGAGAGAGAGGGCGAACTCGACCGGACGAGAGAGAGGGAGAACTCGAACAGCGACGACGGAGAACTCGACCGGACGAGCGTCTTCAAGATGATTGCTTCAGGGACGACGGACTCGTGTTTGACGGAGAAGTCGAGGGGCTCGTGCTTCAGGGACGACATACTCGTGTTTGACGGAGAACTCACGGGCTCGTGCTTCAGGGACTATGCGACGGACTCGCCGTTGACGGAGAAGCAGGGACGACGGGAAAATTTGGAACAGACCCGCGGCGGCAACAATAAACAGACCCGACGAAGACGAAAACCAAAAATAAACCGTCGTTTAGGGTTTTTGAAAATAATAGACATGTTTTAATTTAATTGTATTCTCCTTAATACCCCTAACAACTTTTTAACTAATAACTCATACTAACTACCTTATCTTGAATTAGCCAATCACAAGGCTTTAAGTTCTTCCTTAAAAAAGAGGCTTTAAGGACCAGAACTTAGGCCTCCTTAGTGGGGTAGGCCTATAAGGTGAAGCTAAGCCGTCTCTAGTACAAGTAAAAATTCCACCTGTTGAACGTAGGCCTACAAGGTGTTTTTAAGGGCACGGATAGAGCTTGCGATTCCCCTTAATTTCATTGACCCTCCACACGAAGTGAGGAATAGGAGTTAAAAGAAGTACTTTGGAGAGCGACAGATGTACATTAATTGCTCTTACTCACCTAATAAGGGCCGACCGCGCATAAAACTGCAATTGGAACCCCAGCAAAGTAAAACAAAAGAAGAAGAAACAAATAATAAGGAAAATGGGTTCCAACAAGTGAGATAAAATGGAAGAGCACCCAATACAAAGAGTCTTCGGTCCTTAAATTGTGTGAGTCTCCTTATCCATGAATTGATTGTCTTAGTCCCACTACTTCTCATGATCCTTGCTTGAGTCTAGTACTCGCATTGAGAGAGATAGGGGACGTCTTAGAAGACCAGTTGACCTCGTAAGTTGCTAAATGATATAGGAAATCCTCTAACGACGATCGGGGTTGCTTGTTGCTGTAAAGGTCTGGAGTAGGGATGACAATTTACCCACCCATGGGTAATTTTGCCCAAACCCAAGTAGATCCATTTATTATGGGTAGGGTTTGGGTGATGTGTGTATGGGTTTGGGTTAGATATGGATATTATCTAAATGGGTATGGGTTGGATATGGATATCCATTTACTTGAGAGTGTTTTAACTACACATGCAAAAATTGGACTTATTTGTAAAATTTTAGGTACCAAAATGTAAGACCAAAAAAGTTTAGGTATCAAAACGTAATTTTCCATCGATATTTTGAGGACTTATATGCAAAAAAAATTAAATTTAGGTACTAAATATGCATATCTATTAAGTTTAGGTACCAAACTGTAATTTGTATTTGGGCATGGGTACAAACCCAAATCCAACCCAAAGTAAATGGGTATGGGTACAAACCCATCAAACTTTACCCATATCCATATATTTGGATTTCATACCCAACCCAATTGGGTTGGATAGTAAAATACCCATGGGTATGGGCAAAATTGCCATCCCTAGTCTGGAGAGCTGCATTGGTTTGAGTTAGGTTTGCTTGGGGAAAAGCAAACGGTTAAGTGTGGGAAATTTGATGAATCGATATTTACAAATGTTTTGCCCGCCATTCTTATACTGTTTGAAGCTCGGATCTCGGGTTTTAAGTCGATTTTACGCTAGGTTGTTCTTGTTTATGACATTTCAGGTTCTAATGCGTGAATGAAGGTTTGAGCACGAGTTTGGGGACAATTGGGCGATATCAGGACGAGCAAGGGATAGCAGACAAGTTGCACGGCCAGCACGGGAAAGTGCACGGCCGTGCATGGTGGCATTTTTGGCCATGTAGGATTTACCGAGAATTTGCACGGCCTGACCCTATTTTCGCATGGGCGTGCACGACGCATTTTCTGGACATGATGAACTCTGCGAGAGGCTACATGGCCAGGCGCTCAGATTTCATGGGCCATGCAATGGTTGTCCACTCCCTTCCCGGAATTAATTGAAACTCTGCGTTTTGGGTTGCACGGGCTACGAAGGGGGTTGCACGGCCGTGCGGTATGGCCGTGCAATCGCGGGAAGCTGCATATAAACCCAATTTCGAGTTTTGGAGAAGGGGAATCAAATTTTTGGAGCAAAAACAGAGTTCTAGAGAGAGAAAGTGCGAAGAACAAACCCTAGGAGCTATTTGGAGCAGATCTCACTATTGAAGCCCATATTGCATCCTCCGAAGTGAAGATTGACATCCTAGAGCATATTATTCCCATCTTTATGAGTATGACTGCTTTGATTTCTGTTTTCCTCTCTCTCTCTCTCTCTCTCTCTATGGAGTAGACCTTTCTCTCACTTGGATATGAAGAACCCTAGTTCCATGTGTTAGGGATTTGAGTTGTAATGACTTTTGGTTTCAGATAATGTTTGATTATAATCGATTGAAGTGTGTTTATGGAGTCAATTGAATCCTGATCAACTTGTTTTGATTTCTGCTGCAACCTGAGATAGATAGAATCTGATTAGGTTGTTAGAGCTTCTTCAATTGGTAGGAGTGGATTGATTATATGAGAGTTAGTCAATCCACTGCTTTTTACTGGAATCCAATTCCAGTAATGGAGTTCTGTGTTAGTTGCCTTAGCTTTCTATCCCGGTGAAGACTAGTCGTCTGCCGGTTAGTCTGTCTAAGAGGGCTTGGTCAGCTTAAGAGATTCCAAGCTACTGTCAGATCTTCCGCAGTTTAATCAACAGTAAATCAACCTAAGGAAATTACAACTTGGACCTAAATAAGGATCTAGGGGGACTCATTCCCGAGTGACTCTTCTCTTGCTTCAGGAAACCGGACGATTTACTGCTTTCTTTCTTCTTTACTTTGAACTCACCTACATTCACTTAGTCCCGCTAGATAATATATAATCACGGAGTAGGTAGTACATCTAGGCCCTAGGTTGACATTTAATACTTGATTCCATTATACTGCATTTCCATTCTACGATTACACTTGGTCGCAGTTTGGTGTTGTGTCATAGCGTGTCAATGTTGCTGGTTTTTAAGTCTTTAACATCGAAAAGGAAAATTGCAAATGTTGTTAATACTTTAAGCATGAATTGTTGGTACAATTAACTAATGATTGTGGTCTAGTTTGTTGTATAAACCCTTTTTTATGTAATCACCTTAATTTAACAATGTGTAGGGGTTGTCCTGAAGTGATTTAAGAGAGGCCAAGCAAGCAACATTCTCAAGTTGGTCAAGCTTAAAGCCAAAGTGTGATAACGACGAACATTGAAGGTTAGTCTACTATTAAGTTCTATCCCAGCATGAGCCGCAACTGGGTTAAGTTGAAGAATCATTTCTGTGATGAATATAGAACTGGTGTGGATGAATTTTTAGATACAACAACTAAGTGTGCTGATGGGCATGGTAGAATTTGATGCCCATGCAAAACATGCAATAACTCTTGCTTCAAAACACTCCAACTCGTGAAAACAGATTTCTTCAATGAAATTGTAGAGGATTATACTATGTGGATACATCATGGGGAAGCATTTGATATTGGTGACAGTACGGGGTTAAATGAGGGTTTTAATGATGGTTTGGGTGTTGATGAGAGGCTTGATTTAGGTATGCCATCATTGTTAGATGACTTGGGTAAAGCTATAGCTGCCGATGTTAGAACTTCAGAGAGTGAGAATACTAATTTTGGTACCCCTCAAGGGGAGGTGGATCCAAAACTCGCGAGGTTGATAAAAGATGCTAACTGCCCCCTGTATCCTGGGTGCATTTTTTTTCTTCTAAATTGTCATTCGTTATGAAAATGATGAACAACAAAATGGTAACCAATAGTAGCGATAAAGCATTCAACTTGAACTTGAAGTTATTTAAAGATGCTTTGCAACATGGAGAGAAACTGCCGAATTCATATTACGAGGTGAAGAGGTATATTAACGACCTCGGGTTCTGTTATAAAACCATAGATGCATGCCCTGACAACTGCGTCTTATTTCGAGTCCCTCTTCAAAATGAAAAAAAGATGTCCTAAGTGTCAGAAACCTAGGTATATACCTGGCAAGGGGAATGACATATAGCCATTAAAAAGGCTAGGTATTTCCCCATTAAGGATAGGCTTCTAAGGTTGTTTATGAACAAAGACATTGTCAAGGATATGAGGTGGCACAAGAAAAAGCGGGTTGATGATGATGTTCTTCGACATCCAGCTGATGCGAAAACTTGGAAATCATTTGATAGAGAACACATTCGGTTCACAACCGATCCTAGGAACGTCCGACTTGCACTTTTTAGTGATGGGTTTAGTCCTTTTGCCAACTCTACTTACAACATGTGGCATGTAGTATTAACCCCCAATAACCTACCTCCATGGCTTTGTATGACAGAGTCTTTTCTATTCCTTTCTATTCTTATACCTGGTAAGAAATCACCGGGTAATAAGCTACATGTGTATCTAGAACCACTAATAGATGACTTAGAAGAAATGTGGAGGGATGAGGCAAAAGCCTTTGATGCATACACTAACCAAACTTTCAAGCTTCATGCTCCATTATCATGGATGATTAATGATTTTCCTGCATACGGAATGCTATCTGGGTGGAGTACAAAGGGTAAATTAGCTTGTCCTGTTTGCAATAGTGAGTCAGATTTTTTTAACTCTAAAGTTCGGGAGGAAGGAGTGTTACATGGGTCATCGGAGGTGGTTGGAGAAAGATCACCCTTGGCGAAGAAGTAGGAAGTTCAATGGGAAGGTAGAACATAGGGAAAAGCCTAAGATTTTGTCTGCCGCGGAAGAGCTTAATGAGTTAAATATTGCTTTGCCTAATGATATGCCTCCCTAAAGTCGCAAAAGGAAAAGAAGCTTTGATACTACAATGTTAAACTGGAAAACAAAAGCTGCATTTTAGAGGCTTCCGTATTGGAAACTATTGGATTGAGGCATAACTTAGATGTTATGCATGTAGAGAAGAATATTAGTGAGAATATTTTTGGGAACTTTAATGAATATTGAGGGGAAAACAAAAGATACCTTGACTGCCCAATTAGATTTAGAGCTGATGGGAATTCGAAAGGAACTTCATGTCAACAGATCAGGCGATAAACCTTCAATACCCCAAGCCTCCTACACATTACCTATTTCACAGCAGCAGACTATTAGGTTTCCGGATGCTTATGCATCCAACATTTCTCGGTGTGTCAATACTGATGGTAAATTAGTGTCTTGCTGGAAAAGCCACAATCACTATATTTTCTTACAAAGTCTCTTAAGGCGGTAGCATATGGGTTATTACACAAAGACGTTTACGTTGTTATGGAAGAATTGAGTGAGTTCTTTCGAGATCTGTGTTCTAAAACTATAACAAGGTCTAGTATAAGAAGATTGCATACCAACATAATAGTCATTCTCTGTAAGCTGGAGATGGTTTATCCACTAGATTTTTTATTATTATGATGCATCTAGCACTTCACTTACCCCGTGAAATAGAGTTGGGAGGCCCAGTTCAGTATAGGTGGATGTACCCGTGCGAAAGGTATACATCCCTAGTCCATTACCATGATCTTTTTCAATTTAAAGTTATATTTTACAAAAATTAACCCTTTCGGTTCTATGGTAACCTTCTAATAGGTTCTTAGGAAGCCTTAAAAACCATGTAAATAATAGAGCCCTTCCTGAGGGTTCTATTGCTGAAAAGTACATAGCTAAAGAATGTTTTGAGTTCTGCGGCAGATACCTGCAAGGGATTGAGATCACGGCTTCTCGCGTGGACATAAATGATGAATGCATACAACTGGAGTGTGTAGGTTTTTTTATTTTCTCACATAAGGCTAGACCACTAGGAGGGGCTAATGATGTCACTGTATCCCCCTCTAAATTTGCTAAGATTCAGAGGTACATTTTGAACAATTGCGAGGAGATTGAGGAGTATTTCAAGTAAGTTATAAATTGTCAAAACTTAATTCTTGTTTTCTATACATATCTAAGAAATTTTGACTTAGAAAGTATGTATTCAACATCTGTTTGGAGGAGGGGAAGAAGAGTAATCATAATATTACACCTGAATCCATTGAAGCTACTTTTCCAAATTGGTTGAAATCATATATAAGGGTACATTAACTTTTTGTGGCTGCCAATGTCATAGTTTTGTTACAACGCCCTAATTATAACTATCTTACCTGCCTTTGTTTGTTTTTGCTTTTTCTTATAGGTCACGAAATAATTTTTGTCAGGGTCACTTGGTAAAACTGATCATATTTATAGTTTAGGGTTGGGTGCTGATGAGAGAATTACTTAATACAGTGGTATAATTATAAATGGGGTCAGATTTCAGGTTTACAAGGTAGATAGTGGTCGTCGTACTCAGGATAGTGGTGTAGTTGGCACGCTAAAACACAACACCTAACAATGGCCAAGTGTAACCAATGAAAGGGACTGCAGTATAGTGGCACAAGTAATAAATATCGAATCCACGGGTCTCTAGAGTTACTATTACTCAGCTTCAGTTCATTATCTAGCAAACTAGATTAAGGATTGATTTACTAAACTACTCTACTAATTACAAGTTGGGAACTCACTTAGGTATGATTCCCCCTAGCTCCTCAATTAGGTCCAAGTTGCAATTACCTTTGGTTGTTCTACTGTTGATTAAACTGCGGAAGATCCGAAATTAGCTTGGAATCTCTTAAGCTGACCAAGCCCTCTCAAACAGAATACCCGACAGACGACTAGCCTTCACCGGGATAGACTGCTAAGGCGATTCACACAGATCTCCACTACTGGAATGAATTCCAGTACAAAGCAGTAAATTGATTGACTCTCGCACAACCAATTCACCACTATCAATCAAGGAAGCTCTCTTAACCTAATCAGATTCTATCTATCATAGGTTAAAGCAGAAATCAAGAGAATTTGATCAAGATTCAATTGACTCAATAAATCATGCCTCAATCGATTATAATCAAACAATAAAGCATCCAAAACTCCATACAAGAAAGATCCTAACTCATAGAACTAGGGTTCCTCAAAACCTAAGTGAAGGGAAGTTACTCCATAGAGAAGAGAGAGACTGCAGAAATCTGATCTAGATCTTCAATCTCCATCTCCAAGCTTGATTCCCGAGCTCCAATGGCGAAGAAATCCTCCAAAATAGCTCCAAGAATGTTCCCAAGTCGCTCTCTCTCTCTCTAGGGTTCATCCCTTGGGTGTTTGGGATCCAAAACCCCGCTCTCCTCCCTTTTGGCTCGGATTAGGCTTAAAAACAGGCTTCCCCGAGTTGCACGGCCAGGTGCACGGCCGTGCACAACACCATTCTGGTCGTGCACCCTCAAAACGCACCGTTTCACTTAATCGATCTCAGCCATCTTGCACGGCCAGGTGCACGGCCGTGCAAGGCTGGATTTTGCCCGTGCAAGGCCTCGGCAGAGAGCGCACGGCCAGAATTATATGTTGCACGGCCGTGCGCCTCCCTGGTCTGCCCGTGCAGCTTGCTCAGCCTCTGTTTAATGCTTCGTTTCTCCCTCGTCCGGACTCCGAATCAGTCGCCGTTTGATCCCAGACGCTCGTAGTCTCGTCCTCTTTCGTTTCATAACAAGCTTGCATGATTCTCTGTCCATAAAGTGAGGTAGAAATCAATTCTTCTTCAGGTCATGCCCGAGTTTCTGCTCCCGAATCGCCAATTGATCTCTGATTGACTTGAAACTTGAGCCTATGCTTCACTTTATGTGCTAGGACCTGAAATGTGACAAAGGAACACAACCTAGCATAAAATAGGCCAAAGACACGGTAATTCAAGCTCAAACAATCAAGAAACAAAGGGGAAAACATGTGCAAATACCGAGTCATCTAATCCCCCCACACTTAACTGTTTGCTTGTCCCCAAGCAAACCTAACTCAAACCAATGCAACTCTCCAGACCTCTATAGCAACAAACAACCTCGATCGTAGGTAGCGGACTTCCTAGATCATTTAGCAGCTTACGAGGTCAACCGACGCACAAGTCATCTCATAGCCTCTTCGGCGAGAATGCTAGTCTTGAGTCGGCATCATGGCAAATAGTGAACAGAGGACAAATGAATCGTGGATGAAGAGACTCTCAAAAACAAAAGATCATGGACTCACATTTTTCAAGGTGCTCGATTTTCTTTTTGGAGATGGTTGGAACCCCCTTTTCTTTCTTCTTTTTGCTTGTTTTTCTGTTTTTCTCTTTTTTTTCAAGGGTTCCAACCTGTTTTTGTAGAAAACGGGGGCTCCCACCTAGCAAAGGTTTTGCGGGAGCTCGGCTCTTACCGGCCATGCCAGGAGCAGTTGTCTCGAGCCTCGTGCGGGGGAAAGACATGTAAGGGGGCTGGAGGTAGTAGGTGGAAATTGGGAACGGATTCCCGTCTCCCCTTACACACTTTCGCCCTATTCGCACGGGAGACGTCATTTTAAAGCGCATTTTCGAGCACCTGTTATTTCAAAACATGATACAAGAGTCCATGACAAGCAGAGAGTCCACAACACCACACAATTCAAGGGTCCTAAGATCACTAATTCACTCAATCAACCAACACACTATGAAGAAGAAATGAGACTTCTTAAATGCATCAACATCCTCCATAGTGCTACACTACCTCCCTAGGTTGCAAACCACTACAGAGACTGTCAATTCAAAGCATACTGAGCAGGTAATTGCAAGGAACACGTACTTGGAGCCCTTAAATTTAAAAATTTGGACAGTGGACTAGGCTCCAAGCACACAAACAGCCAAACATTCACCCGCATACATAATCGAACACCCCCCCACACTTAAGCACGACATTGTCCTCAATGGAGGAAAGATAAGGAGGGTAGAACGAAGTTACCAGATCAAGGGTGAATGATGATGGACGGGGTAGGCGATGCATTCCAGGAAGAGAGAGTAATTAGAACACAAACACCACACAAAATCTCACAAAGGTTGAGCTATTGACTCTAAAACCAAATAACAAAACTGACTCAACCGAGGAGAAATAGAGAAAGAAATGCAAACCGACTGGTTGGGTTGCCTCCCAACAAGCGCTTCTTTCACGTCGTGAGCCGGACGATGGCTCCTAAGTTTCGGTCCATGCTAGAACCTCCTTGAAGTTGAGGTTCTCATCTATGAGGTGGAGTCGCAAGTCACGAGCATGTGGTATGACTGGTGATGGAAGCTCGTGCACTTGACGCAGATGAAGTCTCCACCCTCGAGACCTCTTCTTCTCTTCTCTCGTCTCATTGCCCCAAACCAGATAAGACAGCATCGATTGGCCACCATCGCGTCCACCAAGAGGGACTGATGTCGATGTGGCCTTGGTCTGGCAAAGAGACACTGCAAATGGGTCCTTGCCAAGCAGCTCCTCAAAGTTTGGTGGAGATATCACATGTAACTCATGGCCGGTGCAGGCCTCTTCCACCTTAATTTCATCCTCAGCCTGGACGCCAATTGCTTCCTCAACCCCCCTTCCTTCTTCAAGTGGTATCACCCCTGGGAAATGATCGAGAACTTCCCCTTCTTTGCTTTCTTCCTCATCCTCCACAACTTCTTTCTGCACCCTTTCTTGCTCTTCTTCTTCTTCTAGCACAGATTGGAGAGCAAGTCGCCATGCAATTTCTTCAATGAGCTCATCGTACATCTCCTCGATCGGGCCCAGCATGTTAGAGCAGAAATAAGGAATTGTGTGATCTGCAACCAGAGGACTTTCCTGATCATGATTATCATGGGAGTTCTCTGTGATAACTTCTGTATGCTCCTCAACATCCCCATAGCCTTTGTCACCCTCCTCCTCTTCTAGTATGATAGCAGAAGGGTGATCTTGAGCAGGTTGTGCATAAGCTTTCTCAAGATCCTCGAGGCTCTTCTTTATGCTCAGGAGGGTCTCCTCTGTTTCACGGTAGGAGAAACCAGTTTGGGCATTGTCTGGGATATCCATCTTTGGAAAGGATGTCTCAGGTACTCGAGCAATCTGCTCCACGAGAAGCCTCAAGTGATAGTTTGGATCTGGCTGATGGAGGAATTCTTCTTGATAAGGAGATTGTTCTTGAAATACCCAGGGGTCTGATTGTTCTTCGTAGGATGGGGGTTGGTACTGAAACCCGAATCCATATTCTTCTCCTCCTTGATTGCTCCAGGGGGTCTCGGGGTAATACCACTCGGATGGTGGTGGATACCCCCAATGGTTGGAGAAGCCATGAGGATCCATGATTCAGATCTGCACCAACAAAAACAAAAACACCCAAGTGAAAAGCAAGGGTGGAAAAGAAAAGAAAAAAAAAAAGCTAAAGTAACAAACTTCTGCCTTTCCTAATAATCTAGAAAGTCCCCGGCAACGGCGCCAAAAACTTGGCACGCTAAAACACAACACCTAACAATAGCCAAGTGTAACCAATGAAAGGGACTGCAGTATAGTGGCACAAGTAATAAATATCGAATCCACGGGTCTCTAGAGTTACTATTACTCAGCTTCAGTTCATTATCTAGCAAACTAGATTAATGATTGATTTACTAAACTACTCTACTAACTACTCTACTAATTACAAGTTGGGAACTCACTTAGGTATGATTCCCCCTAGCTCCTCAATTAGGTCCAAGTTGCAATTACCTTTGGTTGTTCTACTGTTGATTAAACTGCGGAAGATCCGAAATTAGCTTGGAATCTCTTAAGCTGACCAAGCCCTCTCAAACAGAATACCCGACAGACGACTAGCCTTCACCGGGATAGACTGCTAAGGCGATTCACACAGATCTCCACTACTGGAATGAATTCCAGTACAAAGCAGTAAATTGATTGACTCTCGCACAACCAATTCACCACTATCAATCAAGGAAGCTCTCTTAACCTAATCAGATTCTATCTATCATAGGTTAAAGCAGAAATCAAGAGAATTTGATCAAGATTCAATTGACTCAATAAATCATGCCTCAATCGATTATAATCAAACAATAAAGCATCCAAAACTCCATACAAGAAAGATCCTAACTCATAGAACTAGGGTTCCTCAAAACCTAAGTGAAGGGAAGTTACTCCATAGAGAAGAGAGAGACTGCAGAAATCTGATCTAGATCTTCAATCTCCATCTCCAAGATTGATTCCCGAGCTCCAATGGCGAAGAAATCCTCCAAAATAGCTCCAAGAATGTTCCCAAGTCGCTCTCTCTCTCTCTAGGGTTCATCCCTTGGGTGTTTGGGATCCAAAACCCCGCTCTCCTCCCTTTTGGCTCGGATTAGGCTTAAAAACAGGCTTCCCCGAGTTGCACGGCCAGGTGCACGGCCGTGCACAACACCATTCTGGCCGTGCACCCTCAAAACGCACCGTTTCACTTAATCGATCTCAGCCATCTTGCACGGCCAGGTGCAAGGCCGTGCAAGGCTGGATTTTGCCCGTGCAAGGCCTCGGCAGAGAGCGCACGGCCAGAATTATATGTTGCACGGCCGTGCACCTCCCTGGTCTGCCCGTGCAGCTTGCTCAGCCTCTGTTTAATGCTTCGTTTCTCCCTCGTCCGGACTCCGAATCAGTCGCCGTTTGATCCCAGACGCTCGTAGTCTCGTCCTCTTTCGTTTCATAACAAGATTGCATGATTCTCTGTCCATAAAGTGAGGTAGAAATCAATTCTTCTTCAGGTCATGCCCGAGTTTCTGCTCCCGAATCGCCAATTGATCTCTGATTGACTTGAAACTTGCGCCTATGCTTCACTTTATGTGCTAGGACCTGAAATGTGACAAAGGAACACAACCTAGCATAAAATAGGCCAAAGACACGGTAATTCAAGCTCAAACAATCAAGAAACAAAGGGGAAAACATGTGCAAATACCGAGTCATCAGTAGTTATCGAAGGCGCTCACAATGGAGCTATTATCGACTTTTATGGGGTGCTTACCGCCATTTACAAGCTACAATTTTTTTATGGTAGACTTGTACGTATTTAAATGTGACTGGTGGGACGTAGGAGATAACAGAAATGGTATAAGGGCTTATGGATTTCTAGCTAGCATCAATATTGGGGAAAATGGTACGAACATGATTCCTACATACTTGCTAGTCAAGCTAAGCAAGTATTTTATATAGAGGACTTGAAATATGGGGGTAATTAGCGTGTAGTTCATAAGGTGACGCATAGGCATATATATGAAGTTCCTGAGTCAGAAGCTGTGGAATGTATGGTAATACACCATACCCACAAGAGGACATCGTGCAAGAGTCACCAATTGTTTCAGATGTTGGTGACATACAAGCTTTGAGTCGCGATGAGGAGGAGCTAATAGCCTTAAGTGACGAGGCAATCTCACTAATGGAGCACCTACTTGGAAATGATGGGGTTGGTGCAACCACTGATGATGTAATTGCAAATGATGAATATGCAGAGGAGGGCGAGGGGGAATAGGAAGATATGCTAGCGGAACTTGTTGGGGATGATGATGAGGATGACGATTATTATTAACTTTGACAGTAAACTAATTAAGAACGAATACACAGATACTGATGAGAATGTTATTAAAACCATTTTTTATACCAGTTATAAATTCCAATGATTATTTTGTGGTTGTTTGTTTCCTTCTTCATTGTTAAACTATTTCGTATTTTTTGTGGCTATTTGGAACATTTTGTTGGTCCTGTTTGTAACATTTTTGTGCATGTTTGACTGCTAGCTAATCGCTCTTTGATGGAATATAGGTATGACACTCGGACCAAGTCGTGTTAACAAAAGGAAGGGAGATGTTAGGGACCAATTACCACCTACAACTAGAGTAACTCGAAGAACACAGCAGCAGACAGAACCAGCTGAAACCAATGTGCCACCTAGGAGAAATGTTGAGCCAGTGCCAAGATCCATGACAAACGACAGAACTATTGAGACTGAAACTGTAGAGAAGGGAGCTCCAGCTACAGAAACAGCTCCAGAATGTAAGCATTGTTTTACGATTTTTCATGAAGGTGCATGAGAGCGCATCTAATTAGTATGGTGTGTGGTTATGATGTATTTGGTATGTTGTTTTTCTAAGGTCCGCCACACAAGAAAAAATGTGGAAAAGCAAAAGGACTTGAAGTGGTAAAGCTGACCCGAGATGGCAGCAAGATTGGCGGGATTCAAGTTGCCGCAGGAGCAAAAAAGGTTGTTGGCAACAATGAAAGGATTTTCAAGATGGAGCTAGGGGTTATTTTTCAAATTGATGCCTCTGATAGGTAAGTTTTACTAGAAAGCTGTCACTCCAGAAGAAAAGCAACCGTTGTTTGGCAAGTTAGAGGTACGAAAAACACCCCTTATATATTCTGTCATTCTATGTATATATATACCTATCATCATACTAAGAATCAATTCCCAATTGCAGAGTAAGTTTGAAATCAATATGACTAACGAGGCTATGAGGAGGGCGGTAAACTATTCCCTGTCTAGGAGTTTCACTCAGTTTAAGCACCATTTCCATTCTCATTACCAGGCTTTAGGTGCGGACAATGCTCGGCAAACACCTCTTGCAAATATCAGTATGGATGATTGGTTGCTCTTATGTGAGCATTTTGAATCTCCACAGTTCAAGGTAAAACAATTTATTAGCATGTGCATAAACCTTACCTTTTATGACCACCTAACATAATAATTTTGCAGAGGCAAAGTACAGCTAACAAGCGTAATAAGAGTATGCAGACTTATACTCATACCACTGGGGGAAAATCGTGCAGCCAACAGATGTATGAAATGGTAACGTCGATCCTTTACACTAAGGTCTGCTCGAGTACTTTAGAAATCTGCATTGTTTGAATACCTCTTTATTGAAACATGCACAGGAAAAGGAAGCAGCAACCCAGACAAATAAGGACAACACTGGTGAAGTATCTGATGACTGGAGAATGAGACTGACCAATTAGATGATGTAGAGGAAGAGTCTAAGGAAATTAAGGTATATGCAGCCACACACAAGAGGACTGATGGAAGCTGGGTTAATGAACAACCTCATCAAAACTTTGTAAGCAGCCTTTTCCATTAAAACTACAAAGATATCGATTTTCCTTTGACCTTGTTATAGAGTGGCAATAGCCAATGTAATAACCATTGTGTTTGAGCATAGAAGGAGATGAATAGAATGTATGTTGCATCTGTACAAGAAGGGAAACCATTGTCTGGTGCTGAGGTTGCTCGATTGTGTTGTAAAAAGCACCAAGTTATGCGATGAAAGAGAAACCACCTACCGAAGGCGAGAAGGTCCTTGAAGCACGTTTAGAAAGTTCTTTGGCTGCTACAGACCAACTGAGGAAATTTTTTTTGAGGAAAAATAAAATCCCAACAGCAACAGATTCAATCCCAGCGGCAGCAAATAGCATCCCAACAAGAGGAGATACAAGGTCAAAACCAGACCATACAGTCATTGCGCTCTTCTCAGGTTGAGATGAAGAAGTATGTTGACTCACAACTAGCTAAACTTAGGAGCGTTTAGTTCAAGGTAAATATAATGAATCTTACGATTTTCATATTGACTTGGTTCAATTGCCATAGCTAGCTTAGTGAACATGATTGGAAAGAACAAATGGTTATAAATTTTGAATTATATGTTGTTTGTGCAGGACTTTGTCAGGCAGTGAGGGACTTCTTAGAAGAAGCATCACCACATTCTGGTTCCTCTATGGTGATGTCAATATCCGTAGGACTTGTTTAAGAATTATGTTGAATTTGGTTTTAACAACTTTTGGTATGAACAACTGCTAAACAATTACGTCTAAGACTCTAGGGTGATGTGTATGGACACTTTGTTGGGTATGTATGGTGACTGGTGGTGTTTTGCATCTTGTGAGTTTGTATGGCTCAAAAATGGTTATGTAATGGATGTTCTGGCAGATTTATGAGAATGTCTCTATATTAATGACTATTGTGTGCGCGTGTGAGCAGGTTTGAATTGTGCAATGTAATACTTACTATGTGCAACGTATAGCCATAGGTATTGTCAACATATATACTTCTTGTGACAGATTGAGCTGTCATGATATATGCTAATTTGTCACAATAAGGTGAGCATGCATATGTTTAGACAAAAAAAAAAAAGTTGTCATAATCAGTATTTAATTTGACAAAAATTTTGGTGTCATAAATATAACACCAGAATATCTACCGTTCTGACAAAACAACATGACAAGAACGACTCATATTGTGACAAAGGCATAACCTATTGTGACCAAAATATCATATATTCTGACAAAGTGTTTCTTCATAATAAACACTAGTGTGGGCCCCGACCAGTTGGCCGGTGGAAGGTAAGGTATAAAATTTGAGAATGTAATGGGGTTTATAGCTTATTGTTGTATAGTTTTTTTTTGAAACACGTGATAAATATGGTGAATTTTAGCAGGAAAGAGGCAAATGGATGATGCAATGAATAAAAAATCAGCATTATGAACCAAGTTCGACTACCTGTTACCTTGTGAAACAATATTATTTCTGGTAATATGAGGTGGAGTAAGTTTTCATAGAAACCGAATTCCAGAAAACCGAATAAAAAATCCCCTATAAAATACACTATAATTTAATCATTAGGATATCAAATAATTACATAATATATATTTGAAATTATGAAAATTGGACTAATCGGGTTGGCCGAGATCGAACCATTTAATAACTTTAAAATATATTATATTTTAGCCACTAAGATATAAAATAATAGCATAAAATATGTTATGCTAGCGAAAATAGCATGTTTTAGGATGGCAAACCCATGATGTTCATTTGTTTTACTTGAAACTTGATGGTCAAATCCCGTATGGGTCAGACCCATTCAACTCTTTTATTTTATGGTTAGTGGTTAGCTCATTAGAATCCATGCATTAGTTTATTGTTAAATTTTTTCTTTCAACAATAAAAAAGGAGTATTGTTTTTGCCCTTTCATATTTATCTTACCAACATTGAGAAATCAACGGGCTTAAAGAAAACCCTATATCCCCTAGAAAAAGTTGTTCGGTGCTCACCAACTCATGGTTCACTTCTCTCTCTATCTCAATTATATCGCCGCCGGTAGCCACTTCTCCCCATCCTTGATTTCCTGTCTTTAATTTTAGCTCTGCAAACCTTTTTCCTGCCTGTCATCCTCCCTACGAACCTCAACTTCCACCCCCCTCTCGGTCTCTGTTTTTCATTTCTTAATCTTTCCTTGTCTTATCACTTGTTTAACCCCCTCTTTGTCTATCTTCGACGCTAGTTTAACGAAGAAGAAGAGAAAGCCACCAATCTTCAATAATATTGTATTGTTACAGTGAAGCGATATTGTGGATTTCTTTGTCACTTATCGGTTAGAGCTTGCAAATGATGGAAAAAGGGGTGGTTGATTATGCTATGATTAGATGACTCAATCTTTAAATTTTACTTGCATGCAATTTACCACACTTCTTCATGAGCATGACTAGATCGTTTTAGTATGCTTGGATTTCTTTTCATAGGGAAGGGATTAGGCGATTAACACACGGAAGAAGGATTGGGGAAATTATTTTGTAAACAATTATAAAGCTCTCTTTCTCTAATTATTTCATTTATTCTCGGCGTCGGCGGAGTCCAGATCCAGCATCGGAACAATCCAAGACTCGGTTACGGTGATCGTTATGGAGGCATGAAACAGATGTGGCCGTGGCTGAAACCTGTTCTGTTTTTGTGGGCCGCCACAATCCATGGGCCCATTCAAGTCCGCATGTCAACGATAAGTTGGCCCGTTCCACATAGGAAAGAGAAAAAAATTGACACTCCCTATTATACTCTTCCTATAAACGCTCATGGAGCAGGAAATTTGAAATGAGGGAAGAGTTTTTTTCTTCCTGCTATTATATTATGTGTAGACAGTAGATTGTAGTAATTAGAACCCCACTTTTAAATCTAGAAGCAAGTAACCACTATCACAAAACATCATATTGTAAAAACTTATCTGCAATCATGAGGTTGTTTCACTCAAAATAAACTATTTTTTATATGTTGAAGATCAGCATTATAGCTTGAATAGTTCAATTCGGCAATGATCTCAGCTCTTACATATAAACTTTGTGTAAAAATGGTATGATTGAAGCTATTCCCTATGCTAACACTAATCAGAATAGTCTTTGTTTCCTGGAAACTAACCACCAAAACATTTCAAATCATAAAAATGATGATACTGGAAAGGAGTATCATAACAAAAAGTATAGTTATTTATCTTTAATCAACTCAAAAGTCAACTTAGAAGATCAACCAAATGAACAGATGTTAAGAGATCATACATTACTATCAAAGAAACTAAATAACCCATAAGTCAGCTCTCCAAGCAAGAACACTCAACCATTACATATATACCCCTCCAAAAATTGCTTTGTGTAACAATATAGGTGGAGGAGGTTAGACGGTTGTCGAGTCCGATGGGAAGGTTTGGAGAGACGGGGATGGTTGAGCCTTTAGTAGGACGGGAACCCGAGACACTGTTTATTTTTAATAAACTCAAAAGTCAACATAGAAGATCAACCAAATGAACTGTTGTTAAGAGATCAGACATTACTGTCAAAGAAACTAAATAACTCACCAGACAGCTCTCCAAGCAAGAATACTCAATCTTTCCATATTTACCCCTCCGAAATTTGCTTTGCGTAACAATATAGGTCGAGGAGGTTAGGCGGTTGTCGAGTCCGGTGGGAAGGTTTGGAGAGACGACGATTGTTGAGCGTTTAGTAGGTTGGGACATCATTTAGACTTATTTACATTAGTTGCGGCTTTTCAATCTGCATTCAACAAACCAACATCACTTAACCTTTTCATATTTACCCCTCTCTTAAAGACACATGTGCCACATATTCACTCAAAACTTATATGTTAAAAAACATTGTTGCTTTTTGGTAGTTATATTATTTAAGTCTATGTCAAGAATTCTGCATCGCTTCTACACATTCAATACTGCAATTCGATGTGCAATATTTGCACTAATGACATTAGGCTTGTGATTTTAAAATTATTCTCCTTTTATAAGATACAGAGAAATAGAATTAATTGTTAAAATCGAATTAAAATAATCAAAGTATGAAATAGAAGTATCAAATACCAAAAAATATTTAGGGGAGAGTTAGTGGCTTAGCTAAATGTGATGGAAAATTCCAATAATTTTGTAGATTTAACCTTCCTGTATGTTTTTAATTTAAAAAGTTTAAACAAATTTGTTTAGTGTAACTGGTTATGTTTCTTGTCTTTTCTCAAAGAGATAAAAATTCCAATCCCATCACTTATGTATTTTTTCTATGAATAAGAAAATAATAAATGACTGTGAAGACGAATCTACCCTTCCCACTTTTGCTATGATGCAAGAATTTTGTAATGGGCCGGTTTACATTAGTTGCACCTTTTCCATTTGCGTTGGGCAAACCAACAACACTCAATCTTTCCATATTTACCCCTCCAAAAATTGTTCTGGCTTAACAATAGAGGTAGAGGAGGTTACCCGGTTGTTGAGTCTGATGAGAAGTTTGGAGAGACGACGATGGTTTTGAGCGTTTAGTGGGTCGGGGCACCATTTGGGCCCGTTTACATTAGTAGTGTCTTTTCCATCCGCGTTTGGTAACTAACATCACTCAACATTTTCATATTTACCCCTCTCTTAAAAACACATGTGCCCCATGTTCACTCAAAAGTTCCGTGTTTAAAAATATCGTTACTTTATGATAGTTATAACAATTAAAAGTATATGTTAAGAATTCTACATCGCTTCTACACATTCAAGAGTGCAATTCGATATATGCAATATTTGAATTAATGACATTTTGGTTGCTAACCGTGGTGAAAAAGTCTTATATTTTTCAGATTTAAGTTTCCTGTATGTTTTTATTTGAAAAATATCACACAAATGTGTTTATTATAATTGGTTATGTTTCTTATCTTTGTTTGAAGAGCCACGGTTCAAATCTCATTACTGATGGGTTTTTTTTTTGTAAATAAGAAAATAATAAGTGATTGTGAAGACGAATCTACCATTTCTACTTTCACTCTGGATGCAGGAAATTTGAAATGGGGCTTCAAGTTTTCTCATTTGACTTTTATTTATTGTGTAGATTCATTTTTTGAGAAAAATATATCGACGGAATATTTTTGAGAAAATTGTGAAAAACAATTTTTATCTGTCAAAGTAGAGTTATTTTGACGAGGTAGTTGTGACGAACTGTGTGACAACTTTTGTTTGACAAAATACATGCTTATTACGACAAAATATGCTTGTCATAATTAACCAAAATTGTTATAGTGAGAATGAATACTCATACTTTGATTAGTTACAATATGTTTAGAAAATAAATAAAATTTCTAATAATTTTTTTTTAAAAGGTTTGGATAATAAATATACATTACTTTTTTCATCAATTTTCTGACACAATATTTCAAATTCTTATTCCTAGACGCCCTTCTCTAATCTGATACTTAAATCATTTCAAATCAATCTAATAGCGTGCCGTGAAGTCAAATTCTTTCCCTTCATTTGGAGTTTCGGACACTTCATTGTACGGTCCAAAAATTTGATGTACTATAAAAAGCAGTTGCTGAAGAAGAGTAAGGCTGAAGTTCATTCTCTGATCATCAACACTCCATAAGAGCTGCCTACAAAGATTCTTCCTTTCCGGAATTAGGGTTCCATATTGGATCGAATCGAACTCACAGCAATTATTAGCACAACAATGGAGGTCATCAGAAGGGCATCTCATGCTGGCTCATGGTACACCGATAATCGTAAGTGTTAAGCCACTCCTCTTCTTCCCCACCTACAATCGATTTCTGGTCTTATCTGCGGAAGTAAAGGTTGAATTCAGGGGTTTAGGGGAAATCTTGAATGTGGAAGCTTAATTGGATTATCATGTTGCTATTATGGAGGGTTTTGTTTCAGATGATCGAGCAATGAAATGTAGATGTCGAAACTCTTGGAAAGCCGTAAAATTTGAGATTCCATGTCACCCCCAGCTTCCTTACCACAGGGCAGTAACTGACGAATTGTAATATTGTTTTTTCCTTTTCCATCCTCAGCTAGAAAGCTCGAAGAAGAACTTGATGGGTGGCTGGATGCTGCTGGATTGCCAAAGTCATCCGATGTTCGTGGAGTCATTGCTCCGTATGTTTGTTCTTCAACCTTTTCTTTTCAATTGTTCCTTTGTGTTTTCCAATTTGGCAATTTTCCTTGAATTGTATGGGCTGGCTCCCACAGGCACGCAGGTTACTCGTATTCTGGCCGGGCAGCTGCTTATGCATTTGGAAACATCGACCCGACTAACATGTGCGCTGCCTTTCTTCTTACTTTGTATTTTCATTTTTGTCTGCACATTTCATAGCATGCAGCGACCGAACTTTATTCTGGCAAAGATTGGTTTGGCTGCTTTGTTGTTGGGAAGGTGAATACCCTGATGCTTTGATGCTGAATGTGGGTGCTTGTTTGTCGTTTCAGTTCTCGGGTATTCCTTCTTGGTCCATCTCACCACTACTATACTCCCAAATGTGCTTTGTCAACTGCGACGGTTTACAAAACTCCGATCGGGGACTTACCTATTGATCAGGAAGGTAATTCAGATATGTTTTGGATCACACATTCAGTAGTGCCATGTTTGATATGCATAGAGTTACTTCAGAATTCTTACGTTGTTGAGATATAGAAGAATCTGTGTAAAGTTGGGAATTTCGATAGAAAACGGGTTAGGTTGAACTTCCACACCAGTTGGTGATAAAGCCTGATAGATATTAGGGCCCAAATAACCCTTGGAAAACAATAATAGTTCTTGCTAGAGTTCTAAATTTTGAAGAAATCTCATACCTTATAACTGAAAGAGATTCTAATACATCAAAGAAGCACTCTCACCTGCATAAGGATCAATCCTGAAGGCAATATGAAATTGAAATGCAAAATCATTGCTCTTCTGCCAATCCTTGTTCACAAGGATTGTTGTAGAAAGCGCCAATTGCTGAACACATGTGTGAAGATGCGGTTTGGTTTCCCGTTGCAAGTGCTACAATGTGGTTTATTCTGCTAAGTATCTTACTATTCAAACGATGTTCTTCTGTCCCATCCTTTCAGTGATCGAGGAGCTTAAAGCTACAGGAAAATTCGAGTTGATGGATCTTCGTGTTGATGAGGCAGAACATAGCATGGAGATGCACTTACCTTATTTGGCCAAAGTATTTAAAGGGTAATTATCTTCTGATCTGCATGTTTCTTTGCGGGTTTCCCTTCTTTGCTTTTGTAGCTTTGGACATTAACCTTTTGCAACTGATCACTTCCGCGGCAGGCACCAAGTGAAGGTTGTACCCATTCTGGTTGGTGCTTTAAATGCTGAGAGTGAAGCCAAGTATGGGAAGTTGTTGGCCAAATATATCGATGATCCCAAAAACTTCTTTTCCGTGTCCTCAGATTTCTGTCACTGGGGTACACGGTACGTATCATCCAAATCTTACATAGTCGACTATTTTTCCTTTCAGCATAATTTCTCCCTTTTAGGTATCTGTTTTTTATTTGATTGCTGAAGCTACTACCTTACAATGACCAATAGTTGGTTAACTTTTGGGCTAACACTAACATATAAAACAGCTCTTTGCTGATACTGGCCATCTTCTTTCCTTGAAGCTCATTCACGAATATTTGTTCTTTAGTTAACTGTACACCGTTGCTTATCTGTATACTCTTTATATATATATTGTGGTAGGTTCAATTACACGCACTATGACAACAAACATGGTGCCATACACAAGTCTATCGAGGCCCTGGATAAGATGGGCATGGACATAATCGAGACGGGAGATCCAGATTCCTTCAAAAATTATTTGCTGGAGTTTGACAATACCATCTGTGGACGCCATCCCATCAGTGTTTTCCTCCATGTAAGTGCCTCGTAACATCAAGCAATAGCTTTGTCCAGGTTCCAAAATGATTGACCGAGTGATCATTCGGTGAACTTAGATAGAAGGGCTGTGTTTGACTGTGTGTTATATGAGTTAGTTAATCACTTCTGTAGGTTGGATAGTAACTCATACCCTATATATTGTCGACCTGTTATTCAGATGACAAAGAACTGCTCAACTAAGATAAAGATACAGTTTCTTCGATATGAGCAATCAAGCCAGTGCAAAACCATGAGAGACAGCAGCGTCAGCTACGCATCTGCAGCAGCAAAGGCGGATGGTGAGTGAAAGATGGTGTAGATGTTCGGTCTGGAATTGTGTGTGGAAATATGTTCTTGAGAATTTGGAAAGACAAAAGACGAGTATGAATTGCATTTCATGATAAAAGCGCCCCTGCAAGAACGATGTTGTCACTGTCCTTTACATGCCAATATTAGAGTGTCAGTCATGCAAATGATCACCAGATCTTAATATTTAACAGAACGATCACTTACATTTACACCTTGAATCACTTCAGTTACTTGATTTCGAGGGAGCGATAGAATTGGTTTTCATAAGGTTCAAAGCCATCAACGAAAATTGCCAGCCATAGCATTGTTCGCGAGCTTATTGTATTTACAAGTGCTGGTTTGTTCAAGTCGTCGAAGGTCACTACTTTTCCTCCATATCCTTTCTCTATAACCCTCACCTTTATGGTGATCTGATCTCTATGTTAAATGAACTCTTCCACCTCATTTACAACAGAAAAAGAAGAAAATCAAACAAACGAAAATTCCGCCTAAGCAAACGAAGGAAGTTGGGACCAAAATGACCACAAGATCTGGTTACAACGTGCAGATCACCACCCTCCAGGCACCTGGTTATGCTTAGCAGCCAAATAGCCCATATAACTGCTCTCTTGTCTTACTAACACATGAACAGACGAGTTCTACGCTCTTCATTTCAAGAGCCAATGCAGTCGGCTTCTTTCTCAAAGCGCATCGTCTAAATCAATCCACCTACCATTCAGTACCAGGACTTGGAGGCTCAATCACCACGACTTCCCCACCTGTTAATCCCACTGCAAACTGGTTCGGCTTTTGCGGGTGAGCTGCAATGGCGGCAGGATAGACATTCAAGCTACAAATCCCAAAGCAAAAACAAGCAAACACCGTTAGAGATCCATGGCAGATGAAGAATACTCAGCTGCAGCATTCAAAAAATTAGACATACAGGCGTACCTTGAACTAGAAGGAAGATAACTGTGAAGCGAGATCCAACTGAAGAATTCGAGAGGCGACGAAGCAAATATGCCCACGGTCCCATCCATAAAGGCAGCATATATTTTCTGGCCGTCACACGAAAATGTTGCCCCGGATATTGGTGGTGAATCTCCAGGAATCCACTGCAAATATATGACGGAAGATGTTGCTGGTTATCATCCGTTTTGAAGTAATAGTAAATGCATGGACGCTGTCATCACCGAGGAGGAACAGAGTGGCGTACCTTTGCAACACATTCTAAGTTGTTGGCCACCAGGATTCCCATATAGGACTTGTGTACTGCAAGGAGTTGTGTCTGGTCTGGGTGAAACTGGACGTAGGTATCTGACTGATGTAATCCTTCTGGAATCTCTAGTAAGCTTCTGCTTCTTTGTCTTTTGAAGTTTGCAGCATCCCATACAATAATCTATAGAACAAACAAAAATTATTCTCATAGCATGCAGCAGAAGATGCAAATGTAGATCAAACTCGATTTATCACTCAGCCTAAAGATGGCACAATGCCTTAGTACCGCCAATGTGTTTCGGCTGAAAATACGCTGACTTAAATGTTGAAGTGGAGACACCATTTCAGTCTTTCTAGACATTAAACAACTATTCCATGATGGCAGACACATATTTCATGTATACAAGTCGCTTCACAAGTAAAATTTCATTTCTTTCTGACTTCGCCAAAACACAATGTTGAAGCAATAAACTAGCAGAAACATGACACCACAAGCCCAAATGGAGTTACGTGGAGTAAGGATTAGAAAGCTTGTAAACTGTCTGAAATAGTTGAAGGGTGATTCCATGTAGATGCCGTAAAACAAGAATGCTAACCTGAGCATCTGCTCCAGTAGACACCAGTATGTTCAGAGTGTTTGAGAAGGCAAGTCCGGAGATCCTTCCAGTATGACCATCGAGTACACTAATAGTCTGCATAAAAATACTTCAAGAATTAGGAAAGTCTATCCTGGCTTTTCCTGTTGCGGATGCCCTTTCACAGCAGGATGAAGACATACCTCGTTCAGACGGACATTGTGGACAAGAACTGTGAAATCAGCGCTCCCTATGGCAACAATGTTGTTATCTATGGGGTGGAAAGCAAGACATGTAGCTTCTGAGGATGGAGGCATGAAAGACACCACAGTCTGTGGATATCGCCAAGGGGGGCGAGAACAGTAAGAAAAGATACCCAAATTTGATGCAGCTAATGCAAATCGCAAAATAATTGGTATTGCATCTTCTAAATTCTAACAGCCAGTAAATACAAGGTGGTTTCGGTTATTTGTTTTTTTACCTTGAATGTCAACGTGTTGAAAATGGAAATTTTCGCTCCTGATGATGATATGAGATAGCAATCATTCTTTGACAAAGCAAAACACGGGACTGCCTCAGTATTTGCAGTAAGGTCGTTTTTCATCAGTGTTGTTGAGGAGTTCCTTCGTTTCAGTAGTTCAGGAGGAACTTTAGCAGTTACCTACATTAAAAAATTGACCCAGGTAAATAGCCTAAAGCAGAAAATTTCAAACAGAAATAAAGTTTTTCAAATGTGTGGTCTATCTCACCTGCCCAGTCAAATTGAGATCATTAACTGGCCATTTCCATAACAAATGGATTCCATTTGATGCTAATGCCAACGCAGCATTACCTGCACTCCCGTAAATCAACCTTGATATCTGCATTAGTTCCAGAGAAACAATGTCAATGTTATTTGTTCACATTTTGTAACACAAGCAATATGAACAAATGGATGGGAGGACGACATGGCATCCACAGTTCTCGGGAACGAGGTACCACTGGTGCACATGAACAAACTGCCCACAATTTGAATTAATAAGAAGATAAACAGCGGATGAGTATAATGGTGTCTATAACTTATATATCGAAATGGAGATACAGTAAGCATATGGTATATAAGTGCATATTAAGTCCATCATTATTTGGGGTCAAAAGACATACATATCAAATTAAATGTGACCTAAATTAGAAAAAATGAAAATATATAGACATTATTGGCAGATCTAACCTTCTCTACTTTCACATTAGAAGGGAGCAACAAGCTTTGGCATTGAGTATGTCTGTAAGATTCAAAAGGTTTCCTACTCTTTCCTGCATTAGCTTCCTCGATAAGTTTGGAATTCAAAGCCTCCCTGCCTTCTGTGTCTCCTTTCTGCAAAAAATACTTAACTTGGCTTATAGTTACTACAGAAGCAGCTTCTAATTCTTAAGGCGTGCCGGAAAAAATCTCTGAACAACATCTCCTGCACATAAACTATTCAAAATCCTCTGCGCAATATACTTGATGTCACAATACGGAAAGCTTTTTGTATAACTTAAGATATAAGTTTTTGTGTTAAGCTTAATAATGATGAGGAAGAATGTGCTAACCTCCCCAACCACTCTGGAAGACTCGTCAGAATCACTTCCACAAATACCAAGCAACTGAAGACCACTATCACTTGCCAAGACCTTGATTTTGTTTTCTTTTGCGTAAACAGCCAACAGGGTTCCATCCTTATTGAATCGGATTTGTGGATTTTCCTTAATCATGGCAGAGCATTGTCAGAGTATGACCAAACTCAGGTTTTGTTGCTCAGTACTTATTCCACTAAATTAGACTAACAAAAAGAACCGTGCAAGAACTTACAGGCAAGCCTCCCTCTGCATCAATAGTTGTCAAAAGATCATCACCGTCCAAATTCCAAACCTTGATTACGTTTTCGTTCCCAGCAGCAACAAACTGGTTCTTCATTATATCAAACTTAACTGCACCCACAGAACTCTTCTGCAATCCTCGGTAGCTTCTTTTGATAGCTCCTTGACTTTCATCCCATTCAACAAGGAATGACTCTCCAGAATTACTGGTTCCACAAGAAAGAAGCCTACAAAAATTTAATTACAACATTAACATAATAACTTAAAAATCAAGTTGTTCAAATTCACGTTAGCCCTAGAGAACTGTGGCAACCTTTGGCCATCAGTAGTGTAAGCCATTGATGTACAAGCTCGGCCAGGAGCATTGTAATTAACTCTAGGTCCCAAATAGTCATACAGCCATGCTTTTATGTTTCCATCCACTGAAGTGGAAAAGAAGAACTGAAATAAAAAAGTAAAAATGATCTTATGATATCTGAATGAATGAAACCAGAAAGATTCACATAACTATTTATTTGAAACTACCAAATAAATTTACGTGTTACTATTACATGAGTGTTGTTCTTGGTGCGGGGGCAGAGTGAATAAACTGATGCATGATGGCCTTCAAAACTATAAATTCTACCACCAGTGGCAATGTCCCATGCCTTAAAACAAAACAAAAATAGAATTACATGAGTTTCATCATATTCCAAGAATTAATTTTTCAAGTTACCAGTGAACTAAACTAACCTGAATTCTTCTGTCATCACCACATGTTATGACTAAAAGTTGTTTATGAGGGGCAGCAAATGCAAGGTCATTGACACTACCAACATGTGCATCAATCTTAAAAAAGAAAACAACAACGCAAAGAGTTATAGAGCTTGCAAATGCAAAACATTGTTAGAGAAGGACAAGAGAGAAGCGTGTGAAACCTACTTCTAATTGCTGCCGTACGTCATTGCCACCATAGTAAGCATACATCTGGACTATGTGTTTCGAATATGCAACCCCTAATTAAACAAAGGGGAGCCATGTCAATTTAAACCTGCCCACATAAATAACCGAATCCAAAATGACAAGCTACTGCCTGTAATCATTTGTTCCACTATACATAGGCATACCAAAAATGGAACCATCCGGACTCCAAGCAGTGCGGTTGACAGAAAGTTGCGGATCTTTAAGCAGAGCAGTCTGGAAAATATGTCTGAAACTGATTTAGATCCTTCCATGGAATTACTTGCCTGCTAAGGAAGAAAATGTTCCATGTATAAACAAACCTTGAACACCATTGTGCATGCACTTATATTCCAAACCTTGAAATTCCATCCAAACAACTTTTCACCAGAAGCGACCTCCCACAAACCTATGTATCCCGTGCTAGTTCCGACTGCAGTGCCCGAAACAAACTTGTTTGAGTAAACATCAAGACAAAGTAAAGTAGTTATCCAAGTGCAATTACTAAAAGCCAAACCTAATAAAAGGGTATGCTGAACTGGATGGAATTCCATGCTTGTTTGAGAAGAGTCCTCGGTCAATATTTTCACGACCTTCTTTGGCAAGTCAATGATGTTTGTCCGTTGATGACTCCCAAGAACAGTGTTCCCCATATGATTCTCACACAAATCATCAAGAGGAGCTAGAGAACCTTGACCAGAGGGAGTAACGCTTTGTGTCTCCTGCAAATCCTTCATAGTCATCAGTATAGAAAAGAAAAGGTTAATAATGAATACTGGATATCAAAATGGAACTTTATCCTGTTTTACCTTATCAGCTATCTGAGATAAAGGTCTTTTGGATGCAAAGTCACTCTCCTCAATATGATCTGTGGTGGCCACTGGCAAGCAAAAAGGACTTAGTATTAAAATAAACTCACAAAATTAAAAAGAACTAATCTTAATCAAGAGAAAAGTAAAAAGGTCAGTACCAGGATAAAGGGTGGAGCCAGAGATCCCAGAGTTAGATACTGTTGATGTCACACTAGCAGATGTACACTAAACATGAATAATTGAAACATAACCAGTTGAAAACTATTAGCCAGATCCTAAAAAATGACTTCACTGTGAACCATAGTTAATCCACTCTGGAATAAGAAAGCTATGAACTATGAGGCTATGACTAGCATATCATACCTGTGGATTAACAGCATTCAACAAGAAAGGTATATGCTCATGCGGAGGTGTCCAAACATGATCCACAAAAAGGGTTCTCATATCAGGATTTGGCTGAGGATTTTTACATTGTAAATGCTGCCAATTCAAGCTGTAACATCAACTTTCAATTATCAGTTCCATCTTAATTTCAAACCAGTATGCTGCAAATCAGGAAGATTAAACTATGATTCTGAGACTAAGTTACAGATTCCACAAATCAATGTGACCTCGAGAAACTGTTATACCCATCAGAAGGACACGTACTATCACAATTCACACAGTACCCATAAAAATTCTGTATATCTCACTTGTACATGGCAGAGAGTCTAACCTTTGATTTAGAAGACTACGTAACCTTTGAGTTTTGATGCAGGGAAAATCCACTTTTCCATGAAAAATGGGATTCGCCCTGATGATTTTCTTGAGTTGTTGCACCACAATTGTTCTTGCAGTTTCTGTATCACCATACGTTGAGAGGGATTCATGTTCCCTATCCAAGCATTACATGTAAAAGTTCTAGCTCACTTAGAATGTCTAAAGCCAGTTTCACAGTTGCACCCATTTCAATATTTAAAAAGAAGAAACAAAATGATTCAGATCTCACACCTTATGTTGTTCAAGGTTAATAGCTGTGTCATCTCGTTGAACAGGTCCTTGTTATCCAAGGAAAAAACTTTCAAATCATTGTCAAGGATGTGTATTGCCTTGGCTCTATCATTGCTGTGAAGAAACCAACAAACATGGTGATAATCACTCCATCTTGATAGGGGAAATCACAAAAGTAAAGGGGGATAAATCATACAGCATAGGATGCTTACTTATCTAACGCCTCAAGGTAATTATGCTTCCTCATTTCGAAATAGATCTTGGTCGAGTACTTATTATCATCGAACTTAGTGAACCCAGAAAGATACTTCTCAGCCCCAACCCAGTCCCCCTTCAGAACCAATTCCTCAAAATGCTCCATATTGAAGAAATAACCGCTATTCCGCTCAAGCCTACCGCATCAAACAATTAGAAATTTAGAACTCACAAGCCAAAAGTAAAAGATTTTCAGAAACAATGTGGCTCTAGATGAGGGGCAATAGAAAAAAAAATACTCAACATACTCTCGAGCAGCCTCTTTAAAACCTTCTTCTTCAAGGAACTGCAGTATCAAGAAGACCAGCTCTTTATGGAGAATCGTCATCTTCCCCAAATGAGACCCTAAAATTCAGATGAGAAACCATCAGTCTAGAGCAGAATTCATTACACTAACCATCCGATCGTCCAATTCTCTATACTATTTTTCTTCTTCTTTTTTCATCATCCGGGAAGACGAGAAGTCCAGAGAGCAGAAATCAATCGTCCAACGCCCGGCGTGAATAGATGAACGGAAAGAAGTCGCACAGTTGCGTTCAGTCAGAGCGACAACAGTAAGCAACTGAATTCCGGTCATTGGAGGCGAAGGACAAACAAGAAACGAAATCGCCAGAGACGCAAAGGAAAAGGAATGTGGTTTCGTTACCTGATTATCGATGACTTTGCGCTGATGAAGGGAGCCAAGAATTGAAGAACTCTGTGATTTCCGAGTCGATTTCTGCTTCGGAACCAAGAAACGGAAGCGCCCACTCAGTCTTGCTCTCTTGGCTCTGCTCCTTAAGTTTTACTTTCTACGACTACGACTAGCACTCTCTCTCTCTCTCTCTCTCTCTCACTCTACTGTGGTGGAGTGACGGAATCAATTTGGGTATTTATATCTGTGCTGCTGCACGCGATATGATCAGTGCAGTGATAAGTAAGCTGACTTGTCTTGATAAGTGCTCTTCGGTGGGGACCATGCTCGGGTTTTCCGCGTAACGACTTTATTATTAGGGAGAAGTGAGAACTCCCGAACAGTCCCTTATCTCGTCAAAATTGCGCAGAAGTCCCTACTTTGCGGCCCAACAATTAGTCAGTTAACCGACTTTTCGGCCCTTCCTGCTCATGGGCCTAAATTAAATCACCTCGTCCAATCACTTGTCATATAAGATTTGGCCAATACCGCTGTAAAAAGTGCGGCACCGGTGCGCCACAGATTATGATTGGGCCACGTGGATCTGATGTGACATGGGCCGAGTTTAGAATGATCAACTCGGTCTAAAGTGGTTGGCCTATTAGAAGTTGCCAAACCCAGCTACGGTCAAACTAACGGCTGGCTTCCACGCCGTTTGATTGTTTTCTTTTTTTCATTCATCAATTTTAAATTTATTTAATATGTAACTGTATTTATTTTTCTCCTGGAGAGTGGAGAACAAAAAACTAACGAAAAGCAAAAACCATATATAAAGGTCTTCTTCCTCTATCTCTCGCCGTCTGATTCTCAAAAGTCAAAAGAGCTGCGGCGAACTCCACACCCTGCACTAAATCCATTACCGTATTCCGCCTACTGTGTAAATCAAATCAAACCACGAATCCCTTCCCTGGTTCCGAGCGGCCCTCTGTCGTTACCGACGATCCCAATCCATAGGAAGTGTGAATGGCCTTCCCTCTGTGGCGTGGCGTCCCCTCGATCGCTTTAGTTGGAAATGTCGAAGCGGAATGAAAAGTTCCGCTGATGGAATGGTGTAGGCAGAAGTACTCAGTGAAGATGGTGTGGGAAAGCATTAGAGATAGAGCTCAGCTTGTTTCATGGTTTAAGCTAGTATGGAAATTAATAACATGAGCACTGCAAAGGGTTATGTTCGTTCTGACTTGGAAAGTGATTGATTCTGAATCGTATTTCAAACAAACATTGTGTAAGAAACACGATTTTTCGTGTTTATCATTAATATTATTATTAGGATAATTCTTATTATGGTAAGTAGTCTTCTAGTAGAATTAGGTTTATTATTAGGGTTTTCTAGTATTTCCCTATATATATGTACTTTGGGTCATTCGTCATATTAAGCAGAAATTAATAGAAAAGTTACCCTTCCCCAAAACCCTAATCTCTTTCTCTCTCAAATCTCGTCTATCCTCCTCTCTAGAGGCCTCGGCCGTTCTTTCGATTCTTCCCCAATTCTGTTCCTAATCCCTAATTCTCTTCTAAATCCCTAAATTTCTACCAATTCCCAATTTCCCAACACAATCGTTGGAATCCTAAAAATAGGTTTCCTACATCTGGTATCAGAGCCCGGTTTCGAGAATTGAGTTCATCACAACTCTCAACCGGGGACGAGTTCTACAACTGGTTCGACGATGAGCTCTTCAAAGCTCTCGAACCTGTCGTGGGCAGAGCTGCGTGACCGGGCTCGCCGCATCGGCCGTCGTTGGAGTTCCGAGGAGCTGTCGACTGGGAATGCCACCACCGCAGAAGAGCAACCGTCGGTTGTGCAGGTTGACTCAGACGGTGATCTTGAGAGGCGAGCAGAGCAACCGGACGTGGAAGAGGTTTTGGCAATCGAGCCGCCAGCCACAGAAGAGCTTCCAAATGTCACCAACAAACAGCTGCAGCTTCCAACAACATCAGTCACCACGACTGCGGCTTCACTACTAACACAGGTTGCAGCGGTTGAACAACCAGCCAGTGAGAAGAAACGAAACAAGGCTGTCATGGTTCCCGTCGCGGTCGTGATCAAAGGAGGAGGTCCTGCCTCTTCCGTCCTTGTTCCCGACAAGGAGAAAGTAATTGCCCCGGAACAAGAATTCCAGGCCGAACATCCGGAGAAAAGATCGTTACCGAGACCCTGTACAAACTGGCGGTACAGGAAGAAAGAGAAGTTGACAAAGATGGAGGAGTCGGTGATGGGCTGCCTGGGTGTGCCTCCGGAGCAGCTAACCGCGCAGGAGGCATGGTGTTCGTCGTCGGCTCCAATCGAGGTGCTGGCGACCGGGGAGAAGAAGCCGTCGCTGGAGCTCCGAATCGCGCGAGGAACGCGGCGGGTGGCGTCTGATTCTGTCGCAACGTCAGGCGAAGGAGAGGCGATCGACAAGCAGGCAAAACAGGTGGCGACGCCGCCGAGAAGAAGAGAGATGGAGTCGGCAGGAGGCGAGCTCGGGGAAAGGAAGGAGGAGGTGTTGGAGTTGATTTCTCGTTCCGTGGTGTGCCTGCCGTCGTCGGAACTAAGAAGCGACCGCCGACGCGAAGCAACGAAGAAGCAGGGACGCTCGGAATCTCCACCGAAGCCCCAGATTGCGTGGCAGGCTCGGCGATCGGCGATCCGCGGGGCAGCTCCGAGCGCGCGACTGATGGCGGCTTCTGTGGCGTCGTCGATCGGCAAGGAGGCGATCTCGAATACGGGGCCGGGTGCGGGCTGTCGTCCATGCCGCCGGATGACTGAGACGCCGAAGAAGAAGGAGTGGGGTGGCTCGTCGCCAGGGAACGAGAAGAAGAAGACGGGGTCGACTTCGAGTTCCCTGGTGCGCTGTTCGCCGGAGGACGAGAAGATGAAGGGTATTGGCGCTTCCCTTCCCGCGATCGAGCAGGCGACGACGAGGGTGGCAACCACGCTGATGGCGAAGGGAGGCGGTGGCGTCACTCATCTCTCCAACCCCAGGTCGCCGCCGGGAAAGAAGAGGACGGAGGTGGAGGAGGAGGGGAAGAAGGCCGGCGACCTTTCTCCTCTGGCAACCCTAGGCGGCGGCACAACCCAACAACAACAACGAGTGTCTTGTGGTGAGTGGGCCGTGAGGCCAATGGGAGCGGGCCGAGTGGGCCTAGGATGCTGGCTGGCAAAGAAGGAGGTGGCTGGACTCATTTCGGGCCGAGCAAATCAGCAGGTTGAGTCTATTCGTGGGCCTCAGTTAAGACAGAGGTGGGCCGAGAGAGAGCTTGGTTGTAGGCCGAATCTCTTCTATCAGCGGAGCGGGCTGAAGTTAGGAGTAATTCGGGCTGAGTCACAACCTAGTTTCGGGTCAGACCAGAAAGAGGCCAGCTGGGCCGAAAGAGGTAATGGGTCGAACTGTCTGAAGAACCCTGGGCCAATGGGCTGTGTTGTTGCATTTATTTTGCAGGAACAAAATATGGACAAAGAAAGGAATGGGCTTATTGGATTTGAATGTGGGCTTTCAATAGAGCTTAATTCGAGTCAATTTGGAGAAGAATGGAGCCCAAAAGAGCTTTTCTTCACCACTAAGTCCATTACGGAATTTATAGAGTCTTCTCTTGAAGACCTCAAGCGGGAGAACGAGGAAGAACAATTATTCGATTCTTATTTCGTGGATTTCGAAAAGAAAGAGGAAGAATTGTTCGGCTATGGAGACCGTGACCTGTGTCACGGGGTTCGAGAAAAGTTGGGGAGAGTCAGGGTCACGGGAGTGGGTTTCATTCGAGCAGTGGAGCACAATTGGAAGAAAAGAAAGCGCAAGGAGTGGAGAAGACAAAACGCGGATTGTGCGAGAAGAAAGAGAAGAGTGGGTCGAGTTGGACAACCTTGAGGACAAGGTTGGTTTGAAGGGGGAGGAGATGTAAGAAACACGATTTTTCGTGTTTATCATTAATATTATTATTAGGATAATTCTTATTATGGTAAGTAGTCTTCTAGTAGAATTAGGTTTATTATTAGGGTTTTCTAGTATTTCCCTATATATATGTACTTTGGGTCATTCGTCATATTAAGCAGAAATTAATAGAAAAGTTACCCTTCCCCAAAACCCTAATCTCTTTCTCTCTCAAATCTCGTCTATCCTCCTCTCTAGAGGCCTCGGTCGTTCTTTCGATTCTTCCCCAATTCTGTTCCTAATCCCTAATTCTCTTCTAAATCCCTAAATCTCTACCAATTCCCAATTTCCCAACACAATCGTTGGAATCCTAAAAATAGGTTTCCTACACATTGGACAAGATCAGGAAATATAACTTCCTTTGTCCTCTCTGTGGGCAAGGGCATGATCCAGAAATCAGAACTCACATTTTCTTTCTTTGCTTTTACTCAAAGACTACATGAATTCCCTTTCACAGATTTGATAGGATCAAGTTGGGAAGAATCGATTGAAAGAGCCATCGTATAGTTTGGAGGCTCTCAACTGGGTCTGCTGGGGAGAACAAAGTGGCCGGTATGCGATATTTAGTGAACTTTGGAGGAAGAGGTGTCCAAGGCTTTGTGGAGGGAAGAAACTAAACGAGAATCAACTCATCATCAAGACTCAAACTGAAGTTGCTGTTGCTGAAGATGCAGTTGACAGTTAGCTATTAGTTTGTTGAAATTGAACCGCTGCCTGTATCAGTGTGTATGAGAGCATACATGAGAATGAGAATGAGAAAAAACAAGCTAGGCATAAAGGACTGATGTGTGATCTGATTTCCTCTTCCTTGCTTAGATAGATAGTATACATGGCCATTGAAAATACAAATGAAATCCTGGAAATTGGGAAAACGAAATTAGATGAACCATATCCAAGTCAATGGCCGTCGAAATTAGATTGGAGGCGGTCACAGACAGAGACATATAGGGGAGAGATATTAGATGGGAGGTAACTAGGAATAAGATGAGGGATTCCTTCGCCTCAGTTCTGTTCTGTGTACGAGGAAACAATGAGGGATTAAGGCATTAGATAGAGCTGAACATGTGCTCGACGGACAAGTCATC